CTGAAGCAATTCAAGATATAGCGTCAGCGTTGTCTCGATGTGAGCAGGCCCTAAACGTCCCTCGTCTGACATCGTAGAGTACTGAGAGTCGTAGTGGAAAATGAACCGTGGGAAAGCGATTGCTACCGCTTGGGCATGGCCCTGTTTCGCGATGGCCTTCAGAGATTGCGTAGCAGAGGCAGCGATATTGGCCTGCACGTGAGCAGAACCGGTACACAAGAGATTGATCAACGGGTTCAGGGGAATATGGTCGGTGAAGCAACGTGGAAGAGCTTGGATAGCCACGTGGAGCAGCTCGTAATACAATTGCTTCTGATCAGGGGCTATTGGCTCTTGACTGCGCGCCAACGTGAATGCATCGGCAAGAGGGGTTTTAGGAGTAACGGTTGCCGTCGAAGAAAACTTTTCGTTCAGCGTGGCTTGCCCACCGAATGTGTTGTCGCAGAGGATTGTGATCTTGCCCAGGATTTGACAGAATTGCAGATAGTACTGTTGGGCATTTTCATCTAGCGCAGAAACGTTGACTGGCAGGGGGGAAGGACTTTCATCGTCGGATATTAATTGCACCTGTGAATCGACACCCATGATCGCTCTCATGCTCATCGGCGAAGGCGGCAACCCGTCAAAAGTCGGGGTATGTGTGCTGAATGCAGGAAATGGTGGGCACCTTGTGTCTCCCTTCTCCAAGTCAGATATGAGGACAAGAAACGCGCGAATGCCAATGACCATCCGTTCAGGCTCGATCTGTTCAATCCGGAGGGTCCGATTGGACTGAAACAGATCGTGATGCAGAAGAGGGAAGATGACGGCGCGGAAACAGAGCTCCTGTGCTGTAAACCCAAGGATCCGGATGAATTGCACCAGAGGATTCGCCGTAGATGGCTCAGACACCACATGCGTTTTCCTCCCCTGGGGGATGGTGATCTTGATGATCTCTTCCAGCCGACGCAATTTGACCTGCATGGTATCTCCAACCCGGACGAGATATGTCCAGACGAGCTGACAAATGGCTTGCAGAGCTAGGCCTCGCGTCGACCTGTCCTTCAGCTTGGGGACTAAACTCGAGATCATTGGAAGCCACTGCGCGGAGAAAGACTCAATTGGAGAAATGCAAATGAGCAGTATCGACACGGGAAATCCAATACTCCAGTGACGGACCTTGACTAGCATGTTGCCCAACCTGGAGTTGATAGTTTCGATGAAGTCCTTCCACTTGGGGACGTTCTGAAAGCAATCTGGATTACTCGCCACGGCGGTGAGCAAGCGCTCGAATAGTTGGCAGTAGGCTTGCTTCACTCGGGGTCCATGTGCATCGGAGAACAGTGCCGCAAGAGTTCGCAGGAAGTCGGCGACAGCAAATGCAGCCTCCCTCGTTGGAGGAATGTGCAGATGGCGCATGCCGAGCAGAAGTAGTTCGATGCGAGATTCTAGGTCCCTGGCGGCAGCGGTTCCACCACTCTTGGCGACGTCCTGCTGCCACTGATCAAGCTGATGCGTAAAGCGGAACGTGACGTTGACGAAGTCCAGCCGGCTCATGTGGCCCAGCACCTCGCCATATATTCGCCAGTTTGCAAGTCGGATAGTCGATGTCAGGATCTGGGCAGGTTCCACCTCTCGAATCTGCGTGAAAACGATGTCCTCAAGCTTGTTGGCCAGATCTTGGGTTATGGCGGCGAGCGTGCTTTGCTCAAAAATAGCAATCAATACCCTACACAGGATGTAGACAGAGACGGTGGCGCGGCGATCTGCAAACAGATATTCCTGGGTGAGAGGATCTTCAGTAGCAGGAGCACCTTCGGTTCCAACTTGAGAGAGGCCCGTCTCGCTGGGAACCTGAAGGGGCTCTGTATGCCGCCGAGGGAGCGAAGGTGGAAGGGATGCAGTCGGCGTGCCCGCCTGAATTCTTTGTTGGTAGACCTGCTTTTTCAGATTTGCAGCCGCATCTCCTTTGCCTTTTCGCCATAACATTAGACTGTCCACTAAAGGTTTGGGTCCCTGACGCGAAATGTGGCCCAGTGACACAATCAATTGATCGAAGGCTGCGTCGACACCTGGCGCACAAGCCTGTTCCACGGGCGCAGGGGAAGTGTCCAGGAGAGTCAGACAATGGTTGATTCTTTGATCGGCGCGGAGCACAAATGCGTGAAAAAGATGGTGTAGAGCATATTCACCAGGCGTTCGAGGCTCAGGCTGTTGGTGGAAGCTGGATGAATTATATGCATGGCCCCGTCGTGTTCTTGAATGGTCCTTGCGTCTCCTGTTCTGTGATGATGATGGCGCAGGCTCAGGTACTGACACGCTGGTGTCTATCAATGAATCGATCGAGTGCCCTTGGCCGTGACTCTGATATGGTGATACTGGACTTGTGTAGGCTGAAGTCTCTGCGCTCGCGGTGGAGTACTGACCCCTTCTGCTGCCAGTGGGATACCTTGCATAGCCAGCTGCACTAAGTAACGACTCGGGTGTCAAAGGACTCGCGGAGGAGGGAGAGTTAAAGCTGGGGGTTCGCGAATGCTGCAAGCCATGGATGACGGACGTTTGGCGGTGGTGGCCATAATTGTTTGACGTCCGTCTCTGTAAGCCAGTGGTGTCCACTGCCGGTCCTCCTCTTGCGTTCGCACTGGCTTCGCTCGCCAGTGGCTGAGGCTGGACGGAGCCCGCCCGCGAAGACGTTGTACCGTTGGCGCCATATGCCGGGGCTGAAGACTGTTGAGGCCTGCCTCTCGTCACCGAAGTGTTTCTGGTGTGAAGTTGGGGACGGGAGGCGGACGACGGCTGCGAGATCTGTTCGGGCCCAGGGCCATCGAGGGTAAAGACCGAAGGCTCGTTGGAAGGAGACTGGACATCTGGAAGCATCGAGCACGGTTAGTACGGAATCATGTGCTCGTCCTCATGCAGAGCGCTGATGGTGGTGATGTCCATGGGTGGAACGTGGAGCGCGGTGTTGAGTTGAGCGGAAGAATTCCGGGGGCGCACTTACGATTATGCAGCATTGTGAGCCCTTGAACGCGGACGCTGGAGAGGATGCAGGTCCCGCGTCATTGCTTCTAGGTAGACAAGCGGAGCGGGATGAGGTGCGCAGGAAGTCTTGGAGTTCAAGTTGTCGGGTGGAAGTTTAGTCGCCCATTAATTATTGCAAAGGAGACGGAGGAATTGGAACGGCACCAGCGCAACGGCAAAGGGATGCGCAATGCCGCCAATCAGATCATCTTCACCTCACCTCAAACTGACGACTGGGTGACTGTGCGCGCACAAGGAGGTTTGGTACAGATCGCTGTCTAGTGCGGTACGACATCTATAGTTCATCACCATCCTGAAGTTACCATTTGGTGACTGAGTGCTTCATGGTGCGATTCGTTGTTTATCAGAACACCTTTGTCGAATCAGAATGCCAGGTGATGGCTCTAGCAAGTCATCCTTCTTCAGGCACACCAATACTGTTGAAACATTTTCCAGCACAGTGATGTCGGTGGATGCGCAGGTTGGGGGATTGGCGCCATCGCTGTCACAGACTGTCATCAACCCCCCTCGGGCGCCAACGACTCTTGTACTGTTTCCGCTCCTTGCCGTGAGGCGCATTTCCCTTGACGCTCCTTGGAGCCTTGTTGCCACAATCCGTATTACGTGCATACATAAGACGAAGACAATTGCCGGTTGCTTGAGGGAATGCATAGCCTTGCGACTCCAGTGTAGGCTGTCTAGGCCTGTCCACAGAGGTGCAGGAGAAGAGCCTCGTTATCATGGTGCTGACTGTGTGCTTACAGGTACATATCTTAGGTATGCAACTACGGGGTGCGGCGGGACAAGGGAGAACTGTCCTTGTGTACGGAGTACACAGTACACAGTATGTGGGGAGCGTCAGACTGGACGACAGTGCCACCAGTGCCACCACAAACCCACAACCATACGGTAAGCGAGTCATCGGCGCATACGGCATTCTTCGTATTTACCCGATTGCGCATGGGCCCCGAGGCTTCCCATATTCAGGTCTCCCATCTGAGGTCTTGGATGCCACCTCGCCCCCCGTGGGCAGGTGCCGGGTGGGATCGTAAGAGCGTAGCCATGAGAAGTGAAGTGGATGCATTCAGTTGCCAGAGATAAAAGGAACTCGCCGTCCCCATGCGACACAGTGTGCGCATTGCATCCCATTCTTACTGCTCAACTGCCGATACGCCTGGCCGCTGTTTGCCTGCCTCCCCGGACTCACCACACGCCCACACTCGCACTCCGCGCTGCGCACTCATCATAAGTCCGAGGGTCGACCGCCGTCCACCACGAAAACAGGTGCCGGATATCCTCCTCACTGGAAGCCGCAGTTGCCCGCCAGAAGACCATTCTCGAGGGTAATTCCGCACACCAAACATTTGCCCCTCCAATTGCATCTTGTCCCCTCCACAGTGAAGGTGCCAGTCACCAACAAGCCGAACTCCAGGTTTATAGATCTCCACGATATTTCTTCGATGCTCTAATTGCCGACCGATTTGGCCTCCACGATCGTTGACGTCCGGGACTTTGTTAATTGTGTGGTCGCTTGCACTTTCTACTGGCTTGACTTGTCTGAGTCGACTTTGTTGCGATCTCTCAAGTTTACATCTGAATCGAACGCTCGTTGTCTGAAGGGCACCATCCGATAAAAAGTCGACCCAGCTCTATCTAAGCCTAATTCAGCTGAGAAGAGGCCTGCAACGCAACGCAAGCCCACAAAACGAAATAGCTGAGACTTGCAGAGGCCCCATCCTGCACACCGCAGCGCAGCGTAATCTTGGCCACATCAGACCACAAACGGGTCGCCTCCCCGAGAGCCAAAGAGCGAGGGCCCTGCGCCTGCGATCTCCACGCTGTTCAATTGCTCACCACTGCCCAGCTGGGCCTGTACCCCACCATTCATATAAGCAGCGACATCGCTCCCCGAGGACACTTTGTATTTTCTAGTCTGCTTCAACCACCACAAACCCTCCATGTCAACCGAGCCTGAAGCCGCCCCCATTAAACTCCCCACCATGGCTCAGGTCGATACTCTGGACATTGTTGTCCTCGTCTTGCTGCTCCTCGGCAGCGTCGCTTACTTCACCAAAGGCACCTACTGGGGCGTCCCGAAGGACCCCTACGCTACCTCTGCCCTCAATGGAAGCGCTACCAAGAAGGGTTCCCGCAATATCCTCGAGAAGATGGACGAGTCGGGCAAAAATTGTGTCATTTTCTACGGCTCACAAACTGGCACTGCTGAGGATTACGCCTCCCGTTTGGCAAAGGAGGGCCACGCTCGCTTCGGATTGAACACCATGACTGCGGACCTGGAAGACTTCGATTACGAAAACCTCGACCAATTCCCCCCTGACAAGGTGGCCTTCTTCGTCATGGCTACCTACGGTGAAGGCGAGCCTACCGATAACGCGGTCGAATTCTGGGAGTTCATTAACCAAGACCCTCCTTCCTTCTCCGAGAACTCGGATGAAAAGCCCCTGGGCAACCTCAAATATGTCGCTTTCGGTCTAGGAAATAACACATATGAGCATTACAACTCCATGGTTCGAAATCTGGATAAGATCTTGACCAAACTGGGCGCAAAGAGAATCGGCACTGCCGGTGAAGGTGACGATGGCGCCGGCACCATGGAAGAAGACTTCTTGGGCTGGAAAGAGCCCATGTGGGCTGCCTTGGTCCAGGAGATGGGCTTGGAGGAGCGTGAGGCCGTTTATGAGCCAGTTTTCAGCGTTGAAGAGCGCGAAGATCTCTCTCCCGAGACCGACACTGTCTATCTGGGCGAGCCCAACAAGAATCACCTCGAGAACAGCCAGAAAGGCCCTTACAACGCCCATAATCCTTTCATTGCACCAATCGCCGAATCAAAAGAACTGTTCACAGTCAAAGACCGGAACTGCCTGCACTGCGAGATCGACGTTTCTGGCTCCGGCATCTCGTACACGACGGGTGACCATATTGCCATCTGGCCTACAAACGCTGGTTTGGAGGTTGACCGGTTGATGAAGACTTTTGGCTTGGAAGAGAAGAGACACAGGGTTATCAGCATGAAAGGCATTGACCCTACTGCCAAGGTCCCCTTCCCTACCCCCACAACCTACGACGCCGCCATTCGCTACCACATGGAAATTTGCGCCCCTGTCTCTCGTCAATTCATGTCCACCTTGGCTGCCTTTGCGCCCAACGAGGAGGCGAAGAAAGAGATGGCCAAGCTAGGCTCCGACGCCGACTACTTCAAAGAGAAGATCAGCAGCCAAATGTTGAATGTTTCCCAGGCAGTTTCTGCCGTCCATCCTGGTCCCTGGTCTGCCGTTCCTTTCTCCTGTCTGGTCGAAGGTCTCAACAAACTCCAACCCCGATATTACTCGATCTCGTCCTCGTCGCTTGTTCAACCAGAGAAAATCTCTATTACGGCTGTGGTAGAGTCTGTCCGCGTTCCGGGCGCGGGTCACGTCGTCAAGGGTGTCACCACCAACTATCTCCTGGCCCTGAAGCAAAAGCAGAATGGAGATCCGGACCCATCGCCACACGGTCTGACGTACGAGATCAACGGTCCCCGCAACAAGTACGATGGTATTCATGTCCCCGTCCACGTTCGTCACTCCAATTTCAAGCTGCCTTCCAACCCGAGCAAGCCAATTATTATGGTCGGCCCTGGCACAGGTGTTGCTCCTTTCCGCGGATTTGTCCAGGAGCGTGCAGAGCAGGCCAAGCGTGGTGAGGAGGTCGGCCAGACCGTACTGTTCTACGGCTGTCGAAGGTCATCCGAGGACTGGCTCTACAAAGCCGAGTGGGACGTAAGTTGAATCAGCTAATTCCGTATTGACAAAGCATTCGCTGACTGGCTGCCACAGGAATACAAAAAGATACTGGGAGACAAGTTGACCATCTTCAACGCATTCTCGCGAGAAGGTCCCAAGAAGGTCTACGTGCAACACATGATCAAAGAGAACGCCAAGTTCATCAATGACCTCCTCCAACAAAAGGCCAATTTCTACGTCTGCGGTGATGCAGCCCACATGGCCCGAGAAGTCAATGAGGTTCTCGGCCAGATTATTGCTTCTGAACGGGGAGTTGACGAGAAGAAGGCGGAGCAGGTCGTCAAGAGCATGCGCAGCAGCGGTGTCTACCAGGAAGATGTTTGGTCGTAAATTGCCATCACACTGAGCCGACAACCTAGAGGACGGTATACGTTCTGCAATACCTAGTGTGGACGATCAAGTACGACCGGTGGGGTGATTCTCAGTCCGCCTTTCGCTTGCGATGCCCAAGGCACGCGGCATACAAAGCAGATCTGGGGAGGCAATCAGATCCAGGCGTGGAGCGATGCACGCAACCTGGTACCATTACGTGCGGAGTTGACGATCACGATGCACACCAAGACCTGCGAACCATATGACATGGCGAATTTTTCCCGGAAAGCAAGACCCGAAAACTTTGTATACCCCCTGGGTGCCCCCTACCGGAAGCTGGACTTTGGCGGGCAGGTCACATGCCAACCGGCTCAATGTGAATGTGGGGTTGCCACTTCACTGCTCGAGCCTCGACCTTCCGTGGGGTTTGTCCAGCCTTCGAAACTCGACTCTTTTCACGACGACTTTGCATGTGGGGCAGCTACAGTCTCGTCGGCGCTGTTCAGCGTTCACCTTCGTCACGGGCGTTGGGAGTCTCCGGATGGTTCTAGACGAGGTTTTGCGAGATACTTTTTCTGAATGGCAGAGGGTGGGACGGCCGCTGATTTTCTTCTTCTGGGACCAGATCTTTACGTACTCGTCCCTTAGCCTATACACCCAGAACCGGTGCAGTGAATATTGGTAGAGAGATCCAAGGTGATAAACGCAAAGCAGTAGATGCGAGGGATGCAGCAAGAATGAAATACCAAGTGCAAATTTGTCCACCGAACCGCTTGAATCTCTCGCGCTTTTCAACGCCGGGGTTGTTGTTGAGTCTTCGCGTCCAGCTCCCTCCTGACTATCTCGTTTCCCTCTCGAACTGAGGCTTTCAGGCTAAGGGCACAACACAACAGAGCACAACACAGCACAACATATCGCATCGTCCTAATTATGGTTTGCCCATTCCGAGTTTCAAGATATAAACCGTCGCTTGGATTTAGGTTTTGATCGATGAATCGACTAATCAATTCTGACAATGACTTCCTTTTCGTCGTCCGCTGGCGCCGCACCTCACGTTATCAAATATCAGCCCGTCATGTCCGGACGCTGCTCTCATATAACGATGCTTACACTCGCCCGTGCCTGTCACTGGGCCTGTCACTGGGCCTGTTACTGACCCTGTCGCCGTCCCTGTCCCTATTCCTGTCCTGCTGGCATCTGTTGCGTTCAGACCTTACTTTCTACAACCCATGGCGTCTATTTCGGACAAACTCGCAGTTGACGTCCTCCCTCTCTAGGAGGAAACCGAGTTCGAGTTCGTCAAGACGGGTGGAGATGATGCAATTTACCATACTACTGGCGTGACCTCTCCCACACGCCCTTCGCACGCGCGCAGGCGTCCTCCAAGGCGAAAATATCGGCGCGGCTGGCCTCGAAAATACCGGTCTCGTCGTCCCCGTTGCTTCCTCCTTCTCCTTCTTGCGCTCCTCCAAGGCCACGGCTCGCGGTCTCCTTTTGAACGTGCTGCAAGACCTCGACTAGAAACGTGGACGATCTGGTCAACGAGTCCATGTGTCTCTGCAGTCGAGACTTCAGCGCCGGCACGCCCATGCTAGGCGTGCTGACCAGGTAAGGCAGGACGATGCAGATGAGGTTCAGCGTGGAAATGTAAAACGGGATGGAGAGGAGGAAATCGGTGAGGGAGTCGTCCGCATCCGTATCCGTGTCTGCGGCTCCAACGTCGTCGGGCCGCGCAGAGGTTGTAGGGAGTTCGGGCATATCGCGAGGGAAAAGAAGATCGAGGAGAGGGGCAATACCCTCGTGCTTGGCTAGGTCACGCTCGCTCGACTCTAGGGATTCTGGCATGAGGAGCAGTTGACTGGGATCAAGTGATCCGACAACGACGGGTGCGCTGGTCTCCCCGCTTGTATTGGACTTCATCGCCATCCATGCAGCGATCTCGTCCTTCAGCCAATCTGTCCCGATGGCCTTCAGCTGGCCCAACTGCTGCGGTGGCGCAAGAGGGATGGGATGCGGGACCAGCGCGGATGTGCTCCTGGTAAGGCCTGTTTCTTCCACGATCTCGGGCTCTGGTGGCTGCTGCGCGCCTATTTCTTCGTCCTCGATTTCGGCCCAATTTGTGCTCAGCGTGCTCCCCTCCAATGTTTGGGTGATGACTCTGAGGCGAACGGAGTGGTCCGGGTATGCATGGAGCAACTTGCCGGCGATGTAGTGGGCAGAGTCGCGGAGGGCAGGGTACGGGGTTATGGTGAAGAGCTGGGTGAGGGTACTCAGGAGGAGGAGGAATTTGGCTGGTGAGGGCTGAGGCGTCGTGGGAGCAGCTGCTACCGCCAATGTCTGCTTGTACAGAAGAGAGAGGAGGGCGTCTTGGAGAGCTGGCAACGGGATGGACGGCGTAGCGCTCAAGGGGAAGGAGCGCGCGATCAGCTTGGTGAGCTCAGTTATCGTGAGAAGCGTTGAAGTATCCGAGGGTTCCAAGAAGGAATGGTATGCTCGTAGATAGATAACACCAGCTCGGGGAAATGGTATCTGTGACGGAGACGTTGGGTATTCTGATGGTTCCTGTTCATGGTACGGATTTTGGGGTTGATCTTCCTCATCCTCATCCAAGAGTTTTCTCATTTCATGACTAGTGTCGAGTTGCAAGTCCTTGCTAATAGAGTAGAAGCGGGCTAAGAGAGCGTCTCTTGCGACCAGTTCTGGGGTTTGCTTCCACTGCTCCGTCTCTGTTGGTCTTCCAAGCACGACCCGCCCGGGCTCGAGGTGTTCCCGGAGTCGAGCCGTCCATGACATCGAAGGGTACTCATCAGTGCTGAGGGATGACAAGTATTCGTCCAACACCTCAAGCAGAACAGCATCAAGCAGTCTGGAGATAATGGCCTTTTCGGCATCAGAGGGAACATTGACACCGGTGTTTTCCTCCTCAGCCTTGGCCTCGGGATCTGGGAGGTTAGCTGCAGTTGTACTCGCTGGTCGCGTATCATCTTGAGTGTCGGGCCGTGGCGGCAGTGGAGGGCGTTTCTTGCCAGCTAAGTTCTCAAGCATGCTCAGAAAAGCAGAGGTAGTCGCCTGTGTGATGGGAAGTTGGCGGTAGGCGCCCAATGCCGCAGGGAGGGATGTCGCGAGGAAGCGAGTCGGGTATTGCGTTTTGATCCTAGGATGAAGGTGGCTTAGCATGTTGAAAAGTGCTTGCAGCTGCAGACTTTTGAGAGAGGATCCCTGTGACGCGGCTGCCGGGTCGCTGCCTTCAGCAGGCTTCTCTGCATCCGGCATGCCCTCAAGAGTCATGCCTCCAAGATGCACGCGAGGCGCTTCGCCTGGGAAAGTCGGAAGTTCACTTTGTTCTTCGCCGTCTTCTGAGTCGCCCTTGTCGGCTTGATCACCCAACTTTTCCAGCTCTTCCGCAACCCGGACAACAACCTCCCTGGGATTGCCTCTACGAGCCACTATCTCCAAGCATCGAGCGGCTTCTGCAGGGTTCTCGTTCAGCATGGGTAGGATAAGCTTCGGCAAATCCCAGCCAATCTCCTCGGCGAGTTTACCATCGTCGTCGCTAAGAAGACGGATTAACGTAGGGAGTTTCTGCGGTGTTAGCTGATATTCCAGCAATGTCAGATAGGTCATATAGTCAGTCGCTGGCGGCAGGGTAGCGATCATGGGATCTTCGCCCGCCTGAGAAGCCATGATGCCGATAAAGCTCTCCAAACCTCAGTGGGGGGGCGAGCTGTGGACAGGTTTCCCGTGAGGCACTGACTACGGGTTTGTGGTAGCGACGCTGATGCAGAAAATGAGACAGTCACACCAGGAGAGAGCAATCACAACGACGTTAGGCAATGAACGGTTTCAGCTCTACCTTCACTGTCGTGGACCTAGTTGATGCTGGTGACCATCTGATGTTCAATTGAAGTTGGAGCCTCGGAGGTTTTGATGGTCATTTGATTTCTTGGCAGGCTTGATCGCGATCAAGATGCTTGGAGTAGAATGTCCTCCATTTCTCACATCGTTCTCACTCGTACCTTTGCATTTTGTCACTGAGGTGCCGCGCTCAAGGTGCAGTGGAACCTCACTCAAAGACTAGCTATAGTACCTTGTAGATGTTCGTGTTCATCGTGGAACTTTTCCTATGCTAACGACTTTCAGGGAGTCCCCAGGTCCGCATCAAGGTTGAGATTTACCGTGCACACGACTGGGTTAAAATTCATGCGACGCGAGGTCGCGTGCCCCCCCTCCCCTTATGACTCTTGCGTCCTTGTGAGGACCCCACCACAAACAAATATGCATGCGTCATGATATCTCCTTCGGTCAAGCTAACACGGTGGTGGCGTCAACATCGCGAACCCCTTTAGACGCTGAGCTCAGGACGAGGCAGTGGGTAAACGTCAGTTGCTGACATCCTGGAATCTCAGTAGTGTGTGCACCCCAAAGTTGTCATGCTCTATTCCGTACATTGCGTGCTGCAGGGACTGAGGCGGTCTATCATACCACGTATGTCTGAGACACGGAAATGCGAACCTTGATCTGAGAATTTTCCCTCTTGGAAAATACTCCGAGCGGCTTAGATAAATTCTCCTTCCCAGTCCACCTTCAGGACCCTCCAAACTAAGCCTCTGAGCCTCCTTCAGCTGGAGATGTCTCAAAAGAAAGGGCCGACTCGCCGACTAGCACTAACCACAGCCCAACATGGGTTTTGATTGCCACGTGCGTCTCCCCCCGGGATTAACGAAATGAGGCTTGAATGGCGTAACGCTAAGGAGAATATTGAACTTCTAGCGCGAGCCATTCCCGGTGCCACGTCGCCGCCGAACTGGGGACCTTGCTCTGAGCTCCAAGCGAGGGACACGAATGAAAAGTGCTCCAATATTGCAGCACGCGTGGAAAGGATGTCGCGGTCACGGATCGGACCACGTTCCAGCACTGGACGTGCTTCCTAGAAATTCGCAACGAGAATGATGCACGACTAGCAGGTTGCGCGAAACGTACATTGAATGATCGTGATACGCGCATCTAAAACCGATCAAGACGTCTGCCGTTCTGAGAAGGTGCGGGATTGTAGATTAATCACCTTTAGGGCCCTACTCACAAGGGCGCAGGTATTCAAAATCTCGCGGACAAAAGCTTCAACATGTCGCACTCGAGCAGTCGAGAAGAATGCTTGCACGATGCGAGGAACAGCCACAGTGGCGGATCAACCCTCGTGCTCGCTTGCCTGGTTTCCGATCTGTTGCTCTGGGCGCTCTCATGGCTGCCTTTGAGATCCCTTTCGGAATGTACCGCTGGTATTCGTGTATAGTACGGAGTAGCGCGTAGAGGCACAATAGCGCGTTCAAGACGGCAGCTGCCCGTGGTCTTGACTATCGAACACAAACGAGATCATGGTCATCTGAAGTAAGTCTGAATCAGCACTGGATTATCAGCTCTGACTGCTAGGTCTCTCGGGTTACTGCATCTCGCTCGCCAATATTCGGGACATGTCGTTTTCCAGCCGGCTGGCAGATATCAGATTCAAGGCTCGAGCAGGAGAGACACACAAGATGCTTGGAGCTACTCTGTACAGCGTACACAATAACCAAACCGTGAAGCATGACTCAGACCATAGGAGGCAAGCGGTTGCTCGCCTATGGTCGCTAGAGGCCGTTATTTATGGAATGTCTCTGTGGAAAAGTATTCCATCTGGCAACCAGTCTGGAGGAAGGAAACATCTACTGTACGGAGTAGTGTGCCAGATTTTGCCCTTGAGCGATCCCAAAGGGGAGAGACCCTTGGCCAGTCTAGGCGGAGGATTGTCAACCGATTAGCAAGCGAGAAACCAGCGTTGAGCGCCTCAACCAACCGGAGAGTAGGTCAATTTTCCGGAGACATGGGTATCAGCCCGAAACTTTGGCCGGGCTGAGATTTCTTGAATACGGGCACTCCATCACCAATAACCTCAATACCGTCGCAAGACTAATATCGCAACCACAGAAATGGTGAATGCAAGCGACGAGGATTCGCAAGGACGCTTGCAACCAGGGGGCGACGAAAATCCAAGCTGTGCGTCGGAGTCAGCATCTGCATGCACAGCTGTGCGGTGGTCGCCTTGCGTGGACTCGTGCGAAACGGGAACATCTCGCGCATAGTACAGTAAGTAACTTAATCGTAGGCCCTACCTCGTAAGGGGAGCTCTGGGAGGGCAAGAACAGGACGTTCCCTTATCGTTGTGCCTATCTAAGCCCGCGCAGCCCAATCTGGTCAATTTGGGCATCTTCCGATCCGAACCCTTGCCCGTGGTCCTGAATACGCACGGGGTGGACTATAACGACGTCCATCAGTACTCATCACTGCATGCGGGCTGAGCCCGACCACCCGACGCCCGAACTCAAAGGCCCGTTTCTTGATTGTAACCATGATTCTCCGGGCCGTCCGCAATCTGTACGAGCAGGATTTGTGGGCCTTGGAGCCCACCGCGGAGGTTCGCAACTCGTCATCGGTGGTACAGATGTGTCTATTTCTGGCGCATGCAGCCCGGAGGTCAACTGATGAGATTGACAGAACGACACGAGATCGTCGAACCGAACCTCAGGCGGCGACGACGGTGGTTGTTCGCATCGTGCAAAACATGGCACGCAAATTACTTTCTCCAAGAAGCGCAAGGTCAGGCTCGGCTCGGGGGGCCAACCTAAAGAATAACGCAGTGTTCTGTCTGAATCATGTATTCAAGGGCATGCCTGGTCCAGAAGCAAGCCAGATCCGATCATGATGGTGGACATCCGTCAATCATTCGGCCCATCTGGGCAGCGCCCGTCTGGTCTGTCTCTCCTGTGTTTCTCCATGTCGCAACTTTGTCGCCAATGATCGTCCTCATCGAGGTCCGTTTTCAACGGTCGGCCTCGCTAATCGCTTTGCCCAATACATCACTGTCCGGTCAATGGTGAGAACCTTGAGCCTCGAGCACGGAGCGCGGCCTTTTCATTGGCGTACCGAGCATTTTGTCACGGACCTTCTGCAAACCAATGACCCTCGTTGAGAACAACTGGCAATCCTTCCATTGGTCTTGCTCCGGTCGAAGCTTATGCTTGACTGCTTGCTCATGTCGGTTCGCGTCCCAACCTATCCCAGGCGCTCAAATCAGCCGATCCACACGCTACCCGTTTTCGTAGGCTTTCCCAGTGAGGAGTACAGAATGCTCATGTCTCGCCAGCCTGAGGTGGATTGTGGCTGGTGCCATCGCGTCGCTGGCTTGCCGAGACACGACTATCTAGTGCTACCGTGCTAGAGACGCAGACCACGCGCGCGGGCGGCGAAAACTCATCCACCTCAGACTGCCAGTCGCTTGCGGCGGATCTACCATGTCGCAATTGACAGCGGGAGGCAGGGCCAAGTGTCCGCTCCGATGTAAAAGCTAATGCATACCTCGCAGCTGCTCATCCCTGGATCTCGCGATGAGTGGGCTCTCCCGTTCGTACCAAGGTGGATCAGTCGACCGGGACTATTGAGCCAGGACTCCGTATTCTGCCTTTCAATAGAGCAGATCGCCGTGGACGTCCATGAACATGAGGAAATTTGTCTGCTGCTCCATCTGTAGGGGACCAAGAGCCGCCCTTGCATGCAGAGAACAGCAACACTACGCCTATCCCGGCCCGACCTCTTACAGCGAGTGTTGACACCACTTATTCATCCATGACTCTCGGATCGTATACGCCGAGTCTTCTATCAAGCTGTGGCCATGTTTCTGATTCAGCTTTCTTCGACCACCACCGACAAGCCCAGACGTTCCTTCTCATGCTGGCGGCACTGAAGCAAGCATCGCTCTCACCTCACTGGCCTCTTGCTCTCGATTCAGGGTCTGGCGACACTCATTTTTCCAGTCCATCGTTCACGAACCCCGCACGGGATATTTTACTTCATTCATCCTTCTCTTTGGCTAATATTGGTTGAGTACTGAATTGGGGCCAAAGGATACCTGGAACACCCGATCAGGTAGGCGACACAATTCTGGCCACCATGCTGTGTCCATCTTCCAAATCCATTCATTGGACTCGAGGACATATCACTAACTCGAGCCCAAGCACTTGCGAGGACCACTAAATAAGGTATCGGAGGTAGACTTGAGTACATGGTCAAAGCTGTCGGGTCGAGACTGAACGGAAGGGAGCGTGTACCAGGCGGGATTTGAGCACGGGCGAATTGAAGGAGAATTCACTTCAACTTCACTGGGCCACCACCTTGTTGGGAAGATCTATTCAGGAAACCTCCTCGAGGCGGTTGAGTTTCGTCCTCCCAAGTCAACCTGATGCAGCATTCACGGCCACCTCACTTACCCTCCTGCTCCTCCTTCAAGAAACACCGATCCAGCATAAGCGGCTCTAGGTTCACCATAGAACATCTCACGCTGCCGAAACCACTTGCTGTGCCCGCGTGGGCATCTCTTCCTACCCCTCCCATGTCCGGTTCTCCACCACCGGAACGGCCTGCTGAACCTCCACAGATCGCTGGCCGGCGAAGGAAGCGATCACATACCCCTCCGGTCACCACGACCGCTACGACTCTCGCGCCCATCACTCCCTTGGACACCAGTGCTGCTCGACCGGCTACGTTGTTAAGAGGTGGTGAAACCCTCGGAGAGCTTGCTGTACAGCATGACCCTTACGCGCTCAACTATCCGCCACCTCCGACGACATATCAAGCCGCTTCGACCCTGCTATCTTCGTCGACTAGTGCACAGGATGCCCGATTCGCGCTCAGCCCCATATCGCCTCGCACAACCCGGAAACCAAAGGCGCACGTTGCCTCAGCGTGCGTGAACTGCAAGAGGAAGCACTTAAGGTGTGATGCCAGTCGTCCATGCCGGAGATGTGTGCAGAGCGGCAAAGAGGTGTGTCTACCTAGGAGATGAACGTAGGGAGGAAAAAGCTGACGTATTTGTTAGGAAACCTGTCACGACGTCGAACACAAGAAGAGAGGCCGTCCTCCGCTCAAAGCGGAAGACCAAGCAAATGTGACTCGCTATCAAGCCTCGACGGCTCAGTATCAGTCATCTTCACCCGCTGGAGCGGCACCGTTAGGTCCCCCAACAAGGTTTCCAACCTTTTCACAGGGATCCGGACTGACACCGCTTTTACCTTCTCCCGCACCTTGGTTTCGAGCTCAGCAGCAAGGGATGCCCTCGTACTACCCTACACCAGCGCAACCATCAGTATCCTCAAGTCTGGCTACGGCGGAAGGGAGTTTCATACCCTCCTCTGCCGGGCAATATGGTGTCCGTCCGATACTCCCAGGACAACCACCTTCACCATACCCTCCTCGAGCAGAGTCCACGCCTCAAGCGACAGTTTACGGTAGTTACCCCTTCACACCACAAGGGCAGTCCGAGCGCTCTTACTATTCGAATCCAATCTTTCCACCACAGCCATCGTCCAGTTTACCTTCAGAACAGCTCGCCCCCCTACAGACCTCGTCTGCCCTGCAACTACCTCCTATTAATTTTCCCGCCCCTTCTGGGTTGATTGATCCGGCGATTGTGCAACAGCCCGCTCAGTCGACTCAACCACCTCCCCGCGGAGGACAGGAACCGCGAGAAGGACAGGAGAGTAGGGACGATGGCACACAAGAACCAGACCCGAAACGACCCAAGATGGACATCAAAGGAATTTTGGGTCCTCGTAACGACTGAGCCAGCGATGCCATATTGGACCTACAACTCCATCTCCCTCTCTGCCCAACGATTCATGTGCACATATTTCTTCACGGCCGCTTTCCTTTGTTGAACGAAGCGACGAGCCCTCGGGACGACCGTCTACACGTGTTCACATCTGGCACTGGACGATACACTCGACCCAGCGACGGCGGCGACTCTGGTGGAACAGGCATTAACACCAGACAATGGCAGCCACAGGTGCCTTCGAACGCACCGAACAGAGGCATTAGCCTACAAGAAGGACCTCCTGACTACCAGCACCGCGGCTTTCCGTCCATCTTCATGCTTAGGAATTCGGACTGGAGTCCACCCCGACTTTCCTTCGCATGTTCGACATGTCACGACGACCCGGCTCAGCCAGGCCAGCAATGACGGAATGCCACAAAATCCATTCCTCATACACAGAATCGAGAAAGACCAATGCTGTAAAAATGTTTTGTTGACCTATTCTCAACTGCACATACATACAACTCTTTTCACATAACACATTTTCGTCGCTCAACTTTCTTAGTAACTAACCAACGATCGTCCTCATTCCTGCAGGGGGCCGAGAATCTTGGAATAACCCTCGGCGCACGCGTTATGATCGGTGTGCCACCGATGACGTCTTGATCTTCATGGTGGAAAGGGGATTATAATTTAGAAGACACGAACAGCAACGCAGGAAACGGTACGATTACATACACAACAGGAGACGCAATCTGCATTTATACCCTGGGAACGGATTATGAGTCGGCTGTCAGGCCGACCCGGTTGCATTTGGGATGGGGACAAATAACACGGGGCTCTGGCATCAATGCATGGAAATGGGCACATAAAAGCTTGGATTTTGGTTGGGAGGGCCGAATGGACACCCGAGTGGTGGAGGGCAGCGACATACACAATAATGGAGGTACATTATCATTCAGTCAGTCAGTCCACGGCGCGGCCATCGAACTCCTGCTACCTGCGGCCGTGGACTAGTACCAGAAATCGGCCGACGTCTAACATTGGGAGGAAGTGAGACTAGCACGCTTGCGAGGCAGACGGCAAGAAAGTAGAAGTTGACGTGGTGTCCAGTCCATTCCTCCATGCATGGAGGCTTCCTACTCTGTAGCAATATACCGAACGCCCCTGGTTGGGCTATCGAACCACAGTATTTGTGACTGCCTCTCGACTTACGACTTACGAACCAGCGAGCAGACCCGACGCCAGAGCTTCCAGCTCGTCCAGCGTTTGAGGAGCCTCGTCCTCGGCGCGCCTCTTTTTCTCCCTCTTGGATGTCTTTTCTCTTTTCCCATCTTCATCTCCATCATCCGAGGAGGCATCTTCGAACCATTTCCTCGCTCTCTTCGCTTTAGGCGGTCCTCCATCTTCATCTTCCTCTTCGCGCTCTTCTCCATCACTGTACGGGACAAGTTGCACCCCCTGGTCAGCATCATCACCCTCGTCCTCGCCACCCGCAATCCCCAAGTATTCTCTACGCTCCCTCTCCTTCCTCTTTTCCTTCTTCTCCCTCTTCTTCGACCGCGCGATCTCCTTGTCCACCTCATCCGCCCGCAACGCGCGCTCGGCCTCTCGTTCGCGGAATTCCTTGATCTCCGCCTCTGCGGCCTGCCTGCCCCCGGCAGTAAAGGTCTCTTCGTCGCGATACGCCTTTTTGTCCCTGGGCGTGTCGCTGTCCGAGTCGAACGTCAGGTGCGCGCCTTTGCCCTTGTATTTGAGCAGTGCCTTTTTGGATTTCAACAGTTTTTCGCGGCGGTGGGAGTCGACTGTGAGGGGGGCGGCGTCGCGGGCTGTTGAGAGGGTAAGGGTTTTGATTTCTTTACTGCCGCCATGGTCTGTGCCGAGAGCAGATTTCGGGTGCCGGTCCGATTGGGGATCGAAGGTTTCGGCGGGCGAGGGGTCGCTGTCGTTGTCACTCTCAATCTCCCCTTGTCCATCGAGGGCCGAGTCGCCGACTTGGAAGCGGCGCTTGACGGAGAGGAAGTCATCGTCCTCATTGTTATCGGAAGTGCCGTTTCTGGATCTTCTTAGGCCTGCGCTTGCTTCGTCGTTGTCGTCCTCGTCCTCGATGAGCTTCGTGTAGTGCTCAGCTAACACACCCTGGTTGCGGCGCTCGAACATGCGATCGTATTTCGTGCGGACGTCGCCATTCTTTCGTTTCTTCTGTTTCTCGTCGTCGCTTTCGGAATCGCTTCCCTCCAATGCGGCCAGGAGTTGTCTCGGGGCGTTCTTCCGTGCCTTTGCGTCCTCGCCCTTCACAAACTTTACGCGCGGCGCACCAGGCAGACCTAAACTCGCGGCGAAGCCCTCCAGATCCAATTTCTTGACGTTGAATGTCTCTTTATCCTTCTGCACGTGCACGCTCCGTACGTAACTCACGAAGGCCTTTTGTCCGAGATACTTCAACTCTGGGTCCTTGAAACACATGTTTTGCAACTGGTTGCTGATGCTCTGCTGCATCTTCTTCTGGCGGACGTTGATCTTCTCGAGAAAGACTTTCTTTTTCTCGAGCGCGTTGAGCATGCCGGCTTCTTCGGACGGGTCGACAAACAGGATGGCCCGACCCTCGTGCTCGAAGCGGGCGGTCCGGCCGACCCGGTGGATGTATGTGTCTGCGTCTTCGGGGCAGTCGACTTGCACGACCCAGTCGACAGCGGGGAAGTCGAGGCCTCGGGCAGCGACGTCGGTGGAGAAGAGACAGGCGTATTTGCTGTTGGAATATTTTGTGGTGATGTCCAGACGGGCTGTTTGCTTCTGGCGGCCGTGCAGATGCAGCAGGGGGATACCGGGCTGGAGATGCCGAAATGATTCGTAGACGAAGCGGACTTGTTTGCCGCTGCTGAGAAACACAAGAATCTTTTTCTTCACGTTGGCGCGGATGAACGACCACAGTGTGTCGAGTTTGTCCGGAAGGGGCGTGACGACGTAGTTTTGCTGCAGGGTGGAGGGCGTGGCGCTGTCGGCCGCTTCATGGACGGAGACAAATTCGGGCTCTTTCAGACTTAGTCTTGCAAGGTCGGAGACTTTCTTCGTCTGAGTGGCGCTGAACATGAGAGTCTGTCTCTCGCGAGGGAGGTGTTCAATGAGAGCATCGATCGTTTGGCTGAATCCCATGTCCATGATCCGATCCGCCTCGTCTAGAACCAGCATTTGCAGATTCCCAATGTCTAGTTCAGACGTCTGGTCCATGTGCTGCAGCATCCTCCCTGGCGTGGCGACCAGAATGTTCATGCGTCCAAGTCGTTCCCGCTCTTCCTGGAGACTCTTCCCACCGATCACCAAACCGGCGGAGAACATGTGGTTGCGGCCAACTTTACGTAAAACTTCGAAGATCTGGATCGCAAGTTCTCGAGTCGGGGAGAGGATGAGAGCGCCAACGCCGTCGTAGTCGGTCCATCTCTTGCGATACAAGTTTTCGAGAACGGGGAGGAGGAACGCCAAAGTCTTGCCCGAGCCTGTTTTCGCAGCTCCCAGAATATCTGCTCCCTGCAGCGCCAACGGGATGGTCCGGCTCTGAATCGTCGTCAAGGTCTTGAAGTGCGAGGCACTGAGGCCATCTTGTGTTGCTTGCGACAAGGGGACTTCGACGAAGTTTTCTGGCGGTGCTGAAGACTTTGGGTCGAGGTCGGCGACTCTTTGTGACAGGGTGTCGATGTCTTCTTCCTCTCGCTTTCGTTTCAATATTCTGGGTCGCTGGAATTCAGGCCTGGGGCCTTTCTTCCCTCTGCGCTGCCCCGGGGGTGCCATCGCTGGCCGGTGTCGAATGCGCTGCGGAATTGACGTTATTTCTGAACCACGCGGGCTCCAAAAAATTGTACTGTGATACGACGAGGCTGCCTTTATCGATAAGCGGCGAATTGTCGGTAAGCCTCGTCGGAATACCTGCCTCGACATCATTGGATCTGTCACATCCTCTTCAGCCTCAGATCTCGTGGCACGCTGCTGCGACTTCTCGCGTAAGAATCAAATTCTACTGTTGAACAATTCCTACTTACCTATATTGCAGAGTCACTTACGCGATCTCGAAACCCGTCTATTATTTCACGAGCAAAGCGTGCTTACCAGAGGGGACCGCGCTACAATCCATCGGTAAGGTACATGCTATCAGCCCGCCATGGCTAATGATGAGTCCGATGCTCTTGATGTGCTTGAAAAGGAAGCAAAGGAATATGACAAGGTGCGCGGACTTGAATCTGATTTCTGACGTCGCTGACGAATTGTCAGGACGCTGAGATCGACCGCATCCTGAAAGCATTTAGACTTGATTCGTAAGTCAATTCAACCGATCATGTGGTGATTCCAGCCACTAACACCGTCGCAGTTACGCCGTACTAGATCTCCAGCCTGGAGTGCCTGATTCGGACATCAAGATCGTCTACCGGAAAAAGTCACTGCTAATCCATCCGGACAAGACCAAGAACCCGCAAGCGCCTGAGGCTTTCGACCGCCTGAAGAAAGCACAGACCGCCTTGCTAGATGAGAAGCAGCGGCAACATCTGGACGAGTGCATTGCAGATGCCAGACAGCTTCTGATTCGTCAGCACAAGTACACAGTAGACTCGGAAGAGCTGAAGACGGAAGAGTTCAAGGTGGAATGGAGGAAGAAGACTGTTGAAGTGCTAGTGGAGGCCGAGGCACGCAGAAGGCGGCTGATGAAGGCTAAGATGCAGGAAGAAGGCCGCGAGAAGGCCAAAGAGGACGCCGAGATTGAGGAGAGGAAACGGAAACGTGACCATGAGAAGAGCTGGGAGGATACGAGAGAGCAGCGCATTGGCAGTTGGCGAGACTTCCAGAAGGGGGTCAAGAAGGGTGAGGAGCAGAAGAAGAAAAAGAAGATGAAAGTACTGGGTTGAGATCAGTATATCCATCGCCTGATCTGCTTGGGAAAGGGGGACTCGCATTGCTCACCGTGGAAGTACATGACGATTCAATTGACCTACTTGTAGAGGAGGCATTTGCTGTCCCTCTCATTCCTCCAAGTCCTTGGACAGGTCCATTGACCTCCGTCGACGGCGACAACGACGCCGGTGCAGCGCATGTCTGTCAGATTATGGTTACTGGGTGCCTCGTAGCCTGAAGCAACGAACATGACGCTGGACTTCTTGGCTTGACATTTTGGGCGAGATCCTGAGCACGGAAGTGCATACTGACCATAGAAAGATGCAGGCTGGTTGGTTTCTTGGGATGGACGTTGTACAGCCTGGCTGAGGCAGTTGCCTTGCTTCAGCCTTTTCTCACTTCAGCCTTTCTTGCATCAGTTTGCATCAATTCCCTTTCAACAACTCATCCACTCAAATATTATCGCTGTTCAGCGGCACAGCATGTCGGCCCCCCCAAACGTTCCTCGATATCTCTTCCGCGCTTATTCTCGTGGATCCGACGGGAGAGAACGATTTCAGAGGCTTCTGGTCGATGGCCGCATGCAATAATGCCACTGAAGCTACATCGCTGAGCCACCTGCCACGAGACGATGCATGCGACATGCGTCAAGATCATGTTACCGGGAATAGCTGGAAAACAAGGGGCTGCGATATCCTCATATCGTTCACCTCATCGGTTTAGTTTGCACTAACATTGTGTGCGCAAAATATGCCAAGGCGGCTTCACTGCGAGGTCGAGCTGTTACATTTTGCATAATTGACACTTCGGAGTATCCTTCAGGCACATTCTCTTGGACAATTGATCTCCTCGGAAGACACAACCTCGACAGAACCACCGACAGGCTCCTCCGCCACGAGTACCATGAGAGCAAATATCTTGTAGCATACCAACTGCCAACCACGGAGAAGTGCAGCGCACATGTTTCGTTCGAGGCGTTGGTCCGCAAGGAGGACTATTTGAGATAATGCCCGATCTTGCACAAGTGGAACATAGCATGGAACTCTTCAATCGGCTTCAGCAGTTCCGACTGCAATGGAATCTGAAGGAAGTGGCTGTTCCGCAGAAGAGATCGACACAGCACGCACACTGGCATTATGCTTCGGTAAGCGGTGGGTTCCTGTGATCATGATGTGGGCTCTTGCATGCAAAGCTCATCCACAGCACGATGCACTTGTGCAATACGAGTTCCGCGACAGTTTTGATGGTTGGTCCCCGAGTCTCTCCCTGTCGTGGAAGCGGTACGTCTAACAGTGGCTTAGGAGATATCACATTTCCATACCAGTTCGTGAACCCACAAACTCGGATCGCAGCTACCGGTGAGAGAGCTCACTGGGTGGGAGAAATCGATGAGGATTGCCTTCGCCGCTCAAACACGTGCTGTGGCAGAACGCGACACTGCAGATTCGGGGCACGTTGCCATTGAAGGGGACACGACATTGTCGGCGCATTGCAAAATCTGACGTCGTGAAATTGTACCTGGCATTGATGTCTCCCGCGAGCTGAGTGGGTAGTCCAGACATGCATGCACTCGGTTGACTCATAGAGGCCTCCGCGATAGTTGCTCTGGTGTCGGTCACCTAGCCGCAATTAAACCATTCTCTCCCCTATTCGTACTTTCTATCCTTCGATCAACGATATGTGACCTCTCAGCTGACTGACAGCCTTGTGCGACACTCGTCTCTCGGCACCTCGGGATAAAGTACGGAGTCCTAGAAGCCTCAGAGCGATCGTGTCAGGTTTTCCCCACATCGTCCGCCTTGCCCGCCGCCCGGTCAAGCCCGATCTCATCGTTCTCCGACTCGACGAGATTCTGTGTCCCTCCTTTCTCTTCTGTTCTTCACTCGTCCCTAAATACCCATGTCGTCGTGACAATGACTTCTGCATCGCTGCCGCCTCAAGCCCCCATGACCAACGGCATTCACAAGATGGTCAATGGAGAAGCCGATGTATTGTCCTCCTCAAACCCCGCCTCCGCAACACACTCGTTACGAGATATCTGCGCCGTCCTCCACGGGCAGGTGGACGCCTTTCTGTCGGCGGCGCCCGAAGACGATGTGACGAGACGAACACAAAAACAGACGAGAATATCCATGCAAGTAATAGAGAAGGCGTTGAACGACTACGAGTGAGTAATTACTCACTAACCGCACGACCCTGTCCAAGTCTGACTAGTATATGTGTAACACAGCTTCCCGGCCCTCTCACTCTCCTACAACGGCGGGAAAGACTGCCTCGTCCTCTTGATCCTGTACCTCGCCGTCCTGCACACGCACTACTCCAAACCTCCCAAGAACGGCACCCCCAGAGACTTTCCCACCTCGATCCCCTCCATCTACGCGAAGCCGCCTGATCCGTTCCCCGCGGTGTCCGAGTTCGTCGAGTACTCGAGCAAACTATACCACCTGGATCTGACGCATATCTCGACGAACCCCGGCCCGAGGAAGAAGGAGAGAAGTCACTCGAATCCGCCTCTCTCGTCGTCTCCAACTCCAACCGCGCTCCCCACTGGGCCGTCTCCCGTACCACCCCCGTCTGCCAAACCGATCGTATCCTTCCGCGACGCCTTCGCCCTCTACCTGTCGTCACACCCGCAAGTCAAGGCGATCTTCGTGGGCACGCGCAGGACGGACCCGCACGGCAGCCATCTCACGCACTTTGATCCCACGGACCATAATTGGCCCGACTTTATGCGCATTCACCCGGTCATCGACTGGCATCTCAGCGAGATCTGGTGTTTCTTGCGGTCTCCGTACCTGACGGACGTGGGCGGGGGCGGGGAGGTGCCTCTCAAGTACTGCCACATGTACGACGCAGGGTATACCAGTCTAGGCGGCGTGAATGACACGGTCAGGAATCCGAAGTTGCGGTACGTCGACAGCGACGGGCGGGAGAGGTATAAGCCCGCGTACGAGATGACATGGGACGAGGGCGAGAGGCTAGGTCGGGAGTGAGCGGGTGCGCGAGTAAACGAGTGAGCGGAGGGGTGAAGAATTCAGGCACTTCGCTCCCGACCGTGCAAGGTCCATCTTGCGCCCTCAGAGCGGAGGCATGCCATTGTACTGGTATGGCTCGACGCGGGACCATGCAGTTCAACGTTAGCAGGCTACAAAGGCGGCGACGGAAGCCGAAGCAGAATCAGAGGCGAGAGCAGACGTTATTCCCCCTTGCTCTGCACGGCGGGCCCCCTACACTGCAGTGCGAAGTGAGGAAAGAGGGCGCAGGGAGGGAGGGTCGAAGGGGAGCAGGGCATGAGAAATGATGAATCGTGGATCCCTTACCCGTACTTCAGACTTTACGGCCGCGGACTGATAGAGTATCTACAGTAGACGTACAGCAAGAGCGGTATACGCTGTGGTATACCGCGTGATATAGTCCGTAGTATCAGTAGAGTACAATTCGATGACAGACGAGTCCCGCTTACATGGAGAACAGTCTCACAAAGAGTATATACACATATACGTAGATATATGCATAGGCATACCATACAGAACATATGACTCAGCCAGATTTGTCATGTTGAGGCACGGGGAGTAGGGTTATTTGGCATTCGAGTCGAACGCGATGAGAACAAAGCCCGCGCATACTGTAGCGAGGCTGGGCTCAGAAAAGCTGCTTGCTCGACGAAAAGCCCAAGGAGGCTACAGTGTTCGTTGTAATGCGGAGGGCTGAGTCTCTACTAGGAGATTGGCACGGACTGGGCAAGTGCAATCCATCAGCATACGGTAACAAGATTCATTGCGAAAGTGGCACCAAGTGCTGCTGTAAAGATGTATAAACTCCGTGCGCAGGGTGATGATAGAAGTTTTCTCGATCAAGCAGACTACTTCTGCGAGGAGGAACCACTGCCAATGGCGGTGCAACGGCGACAACCTACAAGTTCCGAGTCCTCCACCAGGTTAACTTTGAACGACGAGCCCATACCAAGTAAATATATTTGCAAACTTGCCCGTCTCGATATGTCCCTTCCGACCTGCTTGTGTCCGAGAGTACCTTTTCGTGTTGAGAACGACTGGGTCCTTGCAATGGGTTCTCCCTGTCCGTTGGGATGCGAAGCGGCGTTCCAATCTAATCAATAACACGAGCCGAATGCCTGGGATAGAGACACAGCTTGCTATCCTTGCGACTACGCCGTGCTGGAGCCTCAACTTCTGTGGTGGTTGATTCCACTGATATTGCTGACAATGTCGTGTTGATCATCAGTCAATTTCTTGATCGAATTGTCGTGACGCCACAAAAATCATTCCATCGGAATGCCAACAGGGCACAGTATCCTGTTCCTAGCCCCGCGGCGAGCCGATTGGCGGGTTATACTTAGCCTCGAAATTGGCATTTCGATATATGGTGATAAGCCGGTGTCGGTGTTATTGCGAATCTCATCCAATTCCCAGCAACCACTTGCTTCGCTCGTATACGTAGAAGCTCGTCGCAACCATGGGCACAACCTTGACATAGCCAATTGTGAGGCCCACAAAAAAGCCCCTCCATCCCCTTTCAAGCCATATCCGTCGCGCTGTTTCGGCTATAGTCAACCTATGACCATCACCGACGGCGCCGCCGACCTGCATTCGACGTCGGATGACTTCGAGCGGATAGGAGGCGGTCTGGGACACCAAGCCAGCCAGGGCACCTGAGGTTAGCTCCGCAGGTGCATTCAGTTGACTTCGTTTGTAGACCTTGGTATTAGATTCAGCTGGCGGAGCGGCAGCAGTCGCGGTCGACCGAAGGATGGTATAGGGTGCTAGAGTAGGGTGTCTAAAGATATCTCCTATAGTGTCGTGCGTCAAAAATGACATTCCGGCGTACGGCAACATGCCCAACATCGTCGGCGAGAAACCTCTGTAAAAGTTGGCTAGGCCGGACCTGGGCACAGCGTGCTGTGCGACATTGGATGCCGCTGCGACGGGACCACGGCTCGCTACGTTCTCTACCTCAGGAGGATGTTCGTGATATATCTGCCGGCAGATTCGTGTAAAAGAAGAACGCGAGTCGCGTTTGGTTTCGAAAGCTAACCGCACTCGGACGACCTCGAGAGGGTAGGTGAAGAAGACCGAAGTGATACCCGCCAACGACCCAGACACGAAGCGACGGGAGGGAATCTCATGGGCTTTGTCCGGTATGACCACGGCTCTTATCTGCTCGTAGGCGAGAAACTTGATTCCGGCGTAAGGAAAGACTCGGAGGAGTGTCGCCGAGTGTCCTCGAAACAGTCCTCGAAGCCCGTCTTGCCGATTGATATCCCGCATTGCCGTCACCACGCCGAACCAACTGCCCGTATATTTTGCAAATTGGGGATTCGAGGCCTGGAAAAGGATCTTGACTCGGTCGAGGGGACCAACGACTGTTTTGGCCTGTGCAACAAGTTAGTGTGAGCTGTTACGGAATGACGCTCGTCTCCACGTACCGCGCATCCTGCCAGCCCACCTGCAAACCCAGAGCGCAGAACATATTCGAGGCTCCTCTTATCCAGGTTCTTGGTGTTATGACCAGCTTCTCTCTCGGTTGTCACCGCCGCGTCAGTATTATTGAGTAGTCGCTGGTCGGGTCCTGGTGGTGGTTCCTCGAGCAACCTCGAGGGAGCACCTCGGCTCTCCATCTCGGATGATTGTAAGGCTTGAAGTGTCGTGGCTGCATGGCCTGGTCCGGCTATAGGCATTCAAGAGGCACGTACGACATTATCATGCCAGTGCAACCAGCGGTACAGGCGAGCAACAGTTGGATGTGAGAAGCGAGGGGACGCTGAGCTAGGTTCGTGACGTCGAATGCGGTGGGCACATGTAATGATCGAGGGAGAAACTCGGGGACGAAGGTGGAGGTCCGTGGAGCTACAGAAGGCGAGGCCCAAGCATCCAGTCAGCCAGTCGTGCCACTGCCGATTCCGCACCGCTGGGATTCCGGCCTTCTTCGCCTTCGGATCCCGCACGGCCACTGCCTAGGTAATGAGAGCACTACGGATCCTGCATGTGTGGATTTGGTAACGGCCATAGACCTTGTCAACAAAATATTTCTCCTCTGGTTCAGAAGCGCTTATTCGCGGAGTTTTGATTCATTGAATTCGGCCATCATTAGTCGCGAACACACTGGACAGTTAACCTCTAACTCTGGTACTTTGAAGCACTTCCAGCACTATGTTCTTCTGGGGCATTCTGATCCAGCGACAGCGTGCCTGTTCCTGCTGAGACGGGCTCAAGCCGAGGAACAACCACAGTCCCCTGCTCACAGCTCCCTGGCCGCGAATTGAGACCTTGTCTTTGCTTGCGTGGACTTCTTGATCGTGTGCGAGTCGCAAGTGAAGATATCGTGTGTGAGATGGTGTTGGTCCCAAGCCATACGCTGTCATTGCGACGACGACCTTCCGCTTCCCACCAGGTCGGGTTGTGGTTGTTCACGGGTTGCTGCTGAGCCGGCTGACCCACCGATGAGACCGAAGATTTCTGGAAACTGCGGCGTTGTAGAAAGGCTTTGCTCCAGCGCCAGAAAAACGAGATGGAAAATTTCGATGCGTCGACCTTTCCCCAAGGCTTCTCTGAACACGAAAACATGATGCTGTCAACCCCAGCTTGCAGACTTAGCATCATAGTCTGGACCACGGAGAGCCAGAAGACAGGATGCTGAACGTAATATTCGCTGTAGTTTAAAGCGTGTGACGCGAAGGGGAAGCTCCACATGACGATGTATACCAGAGGGTAGATGAATAAATACCGTAATTGCCTACGAATGGCCATCCGAGTCTTCCTGAGTGGATCGTCGAGTCTGTCAGCAGCATTCTTTGATCTCGTTCCCTGGGCGCCTGGTGTCGCCTTTAAGTCGCCGTAGGTGGTAGATTCTTTGGGCTGTTTATGCGAATCACCCTCGCGCTTTGAATCGGGTTCTCTGGCAGCCAAAGGTCGCTCAGCGTAGGCGGTAGGTGGGGTATGAATCTCCCCTGACCACCCACTCCCGCGCACCATCATGTTTCCAGCTTCATTTCCCTCAAGCGGCTCGAGAATAGGTACTTCTAGCGGCTTTGATGTAATGAAGTTCATATGGTCCCAAGGCTAAAGCTGTTGGGGTGTCCAGTTGTTCCCAATCCCGGGAAGCTGATTCTGGGTTTGCCGGTGCGATGGGCTGAGGATTGGCGGTTGCAATGCTCCGTTAGTTCGGTCGATTCCTCTTTGCTCGACGTCATTTGATTTCATTGAGAGGCCCGATCGTCGTCTCAACTCAGTATCGTAGGAGTCGACTGTTGCACCGAGGTTTTCGAAGCCGCGAAACTTGACGTGAACTAGTCCCCCAGAATCGGATCAATATTGTGGTCTTGTAGTTGGGTCAAATCCGAGAGAGACGTCTGGCACGGCAAGATTGGGATCTAGAGAGGACTCACCGTAGATGTAGATCGAGATGTACATGATCAGGATCAAGCTGATAATGAGATATCGAGGCACCCAGGAAAGCGCCAGTCGATACCAAAATGGACGTTTAGGGAGATAGCAAAATGTACCAGCCTGGGTGTAGCCTTTATCGTTGTTGATGAAGGCCAATGAAGCAAATAAGAGCGGTGGTCCAAGCCACAAGGGGTAAATCCAGCTGCGGTAGCGGTATAAGCCGCCTTCTCCGATGGTGCTGTCCGATCGTAGGATGCAGAGAGTTGAATGTAGCGCGATGATAAGAATAGCCATGTCGCTGGCCTCGATGGCGAACGCGAGCAGGAAACCGCTTGCCTGGCAGAAGTTCGATGCGCTGCTGACTGGCCCCCCTGCAAATACCACGACTGGGAAGACAAAATACCAGATGGCTTTGAAGATGTCGCTGGCAATCAGATGCAGGACCAACCTATGTCGGAAGTACCGGCGCATCATGAGAAACCATCTCAATGTAATTAAGACAAGAACCAGGCTGACGCAAGCGCCTGTAAGCGCCGTGATCAGGACAGCTCGAGATTGGGAACTGCTTAATGTAGCCGGTGTAGTCTTTCCGACACCGGTAGGGCGGGTGATGGCGTCTCGCCATGTCCAGGTGTGTGAAGAACTCGTTCTCGTAGGTAACGATGAGCTTATGTGGTGTGGTATCATGGAGTGTCTGTCAAAATGACCACGGCCGCTACTGCCAATAATTGAATGACCAAATCTGAGGTACGCAGGGGGAAAGGAAATATATTAGATCGAACAGCGAAGATCGGAGATGACGATATGACACGGCTAGAGAAATCCACCCACTCCACCGTCTGGCAGGAGTACGAGAAGTCGGAGTGTTTCCATTGGAAACAGGAAGGGAAGCCTCGAGAGTAGATATCATACAAACTTGTCGTATCACCCACTTACAGGTATGTGCTGGATGCTGCCGACACTCTCGTTAGCCTGCCATCGTGGACGGGATGGATGTCCATATCTGGAGGCTGGTCGGCCAGCAGGCCAAATTGACTGTAGAAAAGAGCTTGCCATCGACACAAGAAGCATTGTCGCTCCGGTGATCAGTGCGAAATGCGAAAGGACGGGTCAGTGTTGACGTTGGAACAAAGTCATTCGGTAGAAGCGAGGAATGGTGGGAAGGGTCAAGTCAGGTAGGGGTGAGAACGGAGTAAGAATTTGTCAAAGCTCCTCTTCGTCTGAAATCCCTGCGGCCAACCTCCTGCCGCCTGTTGATGAGCTTCGAGTTTTCACTTGCACCTCATTAAAGCCTCGATGCAGCCGACTATTCTCTTCCAGAATGAAGCGGGTACTGTTTACTTGATCGATCTACCAACGTCAATCCAAAATGGTCAAGACACTGTCTACACGTTAAAATCCTCGGAACCTCTTGAGTTTCCATACCTGAGCACCGAACCAAAGGGTGCGAAGCGACATGCTGCACTCGCCGCGCTCTCATTGAAGGAACGCTCGTACCATGCATCTGTGCAGGAGAGGATATCTCTGGCACTAGCCGAGATCCGGAGTCATCTACAGGCAACTGGTCAAGGCGGTATTTGGTGCTACCCTCCTCACGCCTTGATCACCAATGCTGCTCCAGAGTTGAGCAATAGTAATTATTCGCCAGGACCACCTGTTATCTTGTCGACCACTGAGCTTCGCACTCATTTCTCCTCGCTTCGTGATCTGGCAGGCAATGTGGTCTGCAATCTTCGATCTGCCGCTGCGATTGTTACAGTGACGAGTCATGGAGAATTTGTTATCCCACCAAGATCTACATTTATTCTGGCAAGCCTCGAACAGGGGTTGCCTGCTTTTGTGCTCGCCCGAGAAGGCTTCTTCCGCGAATGTCCTGGTTTTGAACTCATTCTGATGGATCCACCCTGGTCCAACCGCTCTGTCCGGCATTCCGGTGCTTACAGAACGCAAGAGAATCAAGTTCAAGATCCGTTTGATGAAGCTTTGCGGATCTTCATGAGAGTGTGTGCTCCACAAGGTTGGCTCGCCGTCTGGATCACTAATAAGTCCTCGATCCGAGCCATGGTTCTGCAGACATTGGAAACCATGGACCTCCACTTACAAGAGGAATGGATCTGGATCAAAACAACAATTCATGGTGAACCTGTTACACAGCTTGACGGAGTATGGCGGCGACCATACGAAATCCTCCTATTATTTCAAAAAGGGGTATCACCTAAGAGGATGAAAAGAAGGATCATCGCCGGCGTGCCAGACGTGCATTCGCGGAAACCGTGCCTGAAGATGTTGTTGCAAGAGCTGCTGCCCCCGGATTACCGTGCACTGGAGCTATTTGCAAGGAGTCTTACCGCTGGCTGGTGGTCGTGGGGCGATGAAGTATTGAGGTTTCAACACGAAAGCCAGTGGGCTGACTCAATCATTGAGCTTAGGAGCGACAACCCTCTTTGAGTCAAGGGAGGATTCGTGAAAGGGGACAGCAATCGCACCACCAAGACTGAGGCGGGGCACTCCAGGCGGATGAGGTTTCGGCTCGCTCTGCGCTGCAAGGCTGGCACTTGGGCCAATCAAACGCCTTTGGTGCCTGAGTGTCCCGCGGTTGACGCAATAGGCATTGCCTGCCGCGTGCCTCTTTTGTACCCTTCTCCGGTGCCTCACTTGGTCTTCGTTCTCGCGTTATCGAGACAGCTCTACTACCCAACAGGTCAGACATAATGGCGGAAGCCGCGAAGAGAAAGATGTTCGTCCCACTGGGTGAGTGAGCAGCCCTCAACTCCGCCCACTCTATATCTGAGGAGGGGTCGCGCTGACTGATCAACCCTCACCTAGAGAACAATCCAGAGGTCATGACCAACCTCTCACGAGAACTTGGTCTCTCCTCATCCCTGCAATTCCACGAAGTCTACTCCCTCGACGAACCCAGTCTTCTTGAGTTTCTACCTCGACCCGCCGTTGCCCTGCTCTTAGTATTTCCCGTCACCTCCACATATGAGAAATTCCGAGCCGAAGAAGACTCATCGGCGGAGGCATACACCGCGTCAGGCGACCAAGAGCCCGTGATCTGGTTTAAACAGACCATCGGCAACGCTTGCGGTCTCATCGGCCTATTACACGCCATCACGAACGGTGCAGCGAGATCGAACATCGTCGAAGGCAGTGATCTGGATAAATTACTCAAGCAAGCCCTGCCCCTCAAACCGATGGAACGCGCCGAGCTGCTCTACAATAGCCCTACACTCGAAGCAGCCCACGCCGGTGCCGCCTCCAAAGGTGAAACAGAAGCACCAGAAGCTGACGCAGCTATCGATCTGCACTTTGTTGCATTTGTCAAAGACAAAGATGGCTACTTATGGGAAATGGATGGCTCACGGAAAGGGCCGCTGAAGAGAGGCTTTCTAGGTCCGGAGGACGATGTTTTGAGCGAGAAGGGTCAGGAGTTGGGTGTAAAGTCATTCTTGAAGAGAGAAGAGGCCGCTGGTGGAGGTGAGTTGCGGTTTAGCGTTGTCATGCTGGGGCCCAGCTTCGACTGAACTTTGACACGATCCGGATAACTTCGAGGGTTGGCTCGCTGGGCTTTGGGGCTTATGAGGAACCTAACTTGCACTGCATTGCAGGCGCTGTGGAGAGGTTGCCGCATCCTGCTCGATCAATGGCACAACTGAGCCGCACGACGGAACGGGAAGCATACGACGGAACTGACCTAGATGAATGTAATATACTGGACGTAATGTTCGTTCAGCTGGCACCAATTCCTCCCAAGGGCTTCTCATCGCCGTCTTCTTCACGAGCCTCAGGATCATCCACCTCCTCTTCGATCCTCGTCTCCCCACCGCGCTCTTTCCTCTCGCCAGCATTGTCATCGTCCTGCTCCTCGGACTCGTCCTTCTTCTCCGTCTCGGTCTGCTTCCCCTGCTCCTGCTCATGTTGCAACATCTGAATCGCGGCCTCGGCTGCCGCAGTTGCCCTCTCATCCCTGCGCGCTCGTCTCGTGTTGCGCACATCCCACAGCCCTTCCAGATCCATCTCGACGCGCTTCTCCTCCGTGAACATCTGCACGACGATCCTTGGTGCATTGCTCCGTGACCCAAAACCAACGTACTCGTCCTCCCCCGGATTATGATACTCTTCCTCCCCGTCCAACGGAGACTCTTGCGCTTTCCTCCTCGCCCTCTCCGACACCTCGCCGGCGGCCTCTCCCTGCACTTGCACAATCTCTTCCGCTGGCATCTCCTCCGAAAGCACAGCCTCGTCCACACTCCCCATATTAACGCAGATCCAACCCGTGGTGATCCCGTCGTCCGCGCCATGCCCACTGACTGTATTCCCCACACTCTGCGCCAACTTCATGCGCCTGGCCTTCCGGCGGAGCTTCAATTTCAACTCATTTCGCCCCAGTAGCCCGTCCGCGTAGGGTCTTAGTTTAAACTCCTTGCGCGCCCACCGGCAGAACCGATCCGCCGAGACGTTCAGGTGCTTCACCGACCGCGCGGTGCCGATGACCATAAGCAGGTTGGAGCCCAGCGCCGGCGGGGGGTCGAGGTGTCGTAGATCGAGGAGGACAAGGTTATCCAGCCCGATTTGGGTAGACAAGTGCGTCAGCACCGTGGCGAGAATGGCGGGCGGGTTCGCTGGGAGGGGCGGGATCTCTTGCAGCGCCAGCAGGGGGCTGATCGGGGAGGGAGGTAACGGGTCTTCGATTTGGAGGTACCATGGCACCTGTATTGAGTCTGCAGAGGAGGGAGGTTGAGGTGGAGGAGGGAAGGGGTCGGAGGCGGAGGATGTGTCTGACGTTTGGAGAGATTGGCGTAAGGGTCCGAATTGGCTACGGCTGCTGAGTTTTCTGGTAGATTGGAATCTTGGTAATGGTGGTGGTTGTGTCGAGAGTCGTGATCTAGAGGCCTGTGCTGGAATCGATACCTGTACTCCAGCCAGCGAGCCAACTGCTTCGAGAACTGAGCCGCCGCGACATGACGTGCATCGCACGATGGATCGATTCATTTCGCTCGCTGTATGTCGCAGGATGCTAGGGCGTCGTGAACGTGTCTTTCCCCGAGGATTTCGAACAATCCGGGATATTGGGAGGCAGAATCAATTGAGAGGGTTCTTCCTGATGTCAATTGTCTGGCACGCATGCATTTCTAGAATGGGGATCATCGTTCTTCCATATCCGGACCATCAAGAACCGTCTCCCAATCTCTTCTCCTCGCTCTGCAAGGCTGTGGGGAGCACATGTCGTTAATTGACGGGTGTCATGCTTTGGGACAGGCTCGCAAATTTCGATTCTGAAGTCACCGTCGTCGCCGTGTTGCAGACCCGCAGCGTCGTTCATTTTTGTCTCGAGCCTCGTCCGGCTATATGCACGACCATCGGAGTTAGGCTTGGCTCCCTTCTGACCTGCATACGAATACCATGATTAGGTATAGTGACTAAAGGATGACACGAGAGGATATCGAATTCCGCGGCATGATGCAGAAAATCACTTGCAGAGCGGCTTATTTGCTATCTTAGTTGAGGAATCTGATCTATACAAAGCACTGAATGTGGCTTGCTGACAGGCTCTGCATTGCCTCTGGCCGCGGATCTTGTCTCGGCGCTAACCGATATCCAACACAATACTATGCTACGGCGGAGAATGGCATGGCGTTACGGCGTATACTCCGTGCTGTGATAGAACCGCCATGTAGGGCTGATGGGACAGACTGTTATAAAGCATTCAGTTGACCCGGCATGGGAGATCCCACTAGCCGGTACTACCTTCTTCCAGGGTGGATGATTCAGGACAGACTCTGGTAGTCATTCACTGAGCACAATATTCTTGGGTCCAGAAAGGCCATGGCTTTTGGTTTCGCAACCACGGGGGATGAGGTGGTCGAGGCATTCAAGGATCGGGTCATTGGCAAGACGTGTATGGGTTTCCGAGTCAGTCGGTTTTCGCTATGATATGAACGCTGACAATCTCCCTTTAGTCTTGATCACGGGTCCGACTCCAGGAGGGATAGGTGCTGAAACCGCGCTCAGCCTTGCAAAAGCGGACCCGAAGCGCCTGATACTAGCGGGTCGGTCGCAGCAGAAGATCCAGCCGCTTGTCGAACAGATCCAGAAAGAGAAGCCCAACGTCGAGGTCAGCTTCGTTCAGGTTGATCTGGCGAGTCTGAGTTCAGTACGCAAGTCTGTCGACCGGATCAACTCTGTGCTGGCTGGTGATAAAATCGACGTGCTGATCTTGAATGCTGCGATCATGGCTTGTCCATATGCTCTCACTGTGGATGGGTTTGAAAGTCAATTCGGGACAAATCACCTGGGCCATTTCTTGTTGGGGAATCTGCTCTTGAGAGGAGATCTGGTGCGCTCGCGAATCGTGGTCGTCAGCAGCTCGGCATCCGAACGGAAAGCAGACTATGCTTTTGCCCCCCTAAAGGACATCTCCTACGACCATGACAAGAAATATGATCCCGTCCAGGCCTACACTTTCTCAAAGTCATGCAATAACATGTATGCCCGTCGCCTCGCAAGAGAGCTCAAGCCCAAGGGCATCGTTGTCTTCAGTCTTAACCCTGGAAGCATTATTACGAACCTCCAAAGTTATATGACGGAGGAGGTCAGGAATCTGGCGATTGAGGCGGCAAAGAGGGAGAATCCAGAGTTCGAGGTCCCTGTACGGAAGACGCTGCAGCAAGGGGCTTCCACTCAGCTTTGTGCTGCCTTGGATCCAAGTCTTGAACCTGAGTCTGGAGCGTACCTTGATCACTGTCAGGTCAAGGAGCCGGCTGTTCACGATGGCCATGCAGCATTCGCCGATCAGGTCTGGGAATTGAGCGAACAGCTTGTCGGTGAGAAGTTCCCGTTCTAGGACTGCCCGGAGTGAGGACCACGATGCATACGAGTTGTAGTCGACTCAGAGAGAGGCCAGCACCGAAGCGACAAGATACATAGCTCCCTTGCTCTTCCTCTTCCTCATCATGGAAGCTGCGATGACTAGATGCAACAAACGTGAGCCATACCTCAACCACGAATTACCCACCTGTTTGTCCATTTGAGGGCTTGTGCAACAGCTCAGTGACGTCGTGGTCGCTGTTCGAGGAAGAATTCTCCCTTTTTGTGTTGCCATGGCAGTGTCAAACGCATGGTCTTGCTGGTCTATGCAAGGCTACACTGGCATTGCGCCAATAGTATATCCTCAAGAGGGGAGAGTGCAGCATGTCGAGTAACAGTCACGGCGTTGTGCTTCATCTGCATGCCGCCAGAAAGGCGCGTGATCAGAACACCACCTCGCAATCTGCACATGTATCCGGAGAGCCTTCTTCACCGCGTTGCCTCCGACCAATGAAGCCAGAAGCAAGGAGCGTGGAACTCAACGTAAATCAGTGTAGAACGCGCTCACGGTCAGAGCAAAGTGAAAGCGCGAAGCTAATGACCCTGGGCGCGGGTTGTCCTCGATTTGGCTTGGCAGGATCATTGCCATCGCCTGGAGGCGGAAAGTCGCATAACCAGGCGGAATGTTTGCTTCGAAGAAATTGCCCATGAGTACTTGAGGTTTCAGTTGGACCGTGACGCATTCTTTGTGCCTGCCTGGTGGTTTGCAACGGCCTACATCTCCTATATGAGACTTTCCGTCCGTCTAGCATCTTGCTCGTTCCCCTCCTTTCGATCAGTCGTCCCTGTGGCATTCCGTCCTCGGCTGTTCTCAAAATCGCTGGCGGCCACCCCTCGATTTCCGCAAGCCACTCCCACTCGATCATACGCAACAGTCATGAATTCAGCGAGACGGATAACGGACGAACTGGAAAAGCCCGATCTTGACGACAGGTCATACCGAGTCATCGAGCTGCCGAACAAGCTTGAGGCACTGCTCGTTCATGATGCCCAGACAGACAAAGCCAGTGCAAGTCTCAATGTCAATGTGGGGAATTTCTCAGACGAAGAGGATATGCCTGGCATGGCTCACGCCGTCGAGCATCTCCTCTTCATGGGCACAGAGAAGGTACGCTACAGGCCTCTATATGACGGTTGTATGCTCTCATGCTGACGGCGATGTAGTATCCGGTAGAAAACGAGTACAGCTCGTACCTTTCCTCAAACGCTGGTCACTCCAATGCCTACACGGCTGCTACTCAGACGAACTACTTCTTCGAATGTGCCGCCCAGCACGAATCAAATGAGAAGCTTACGAACGGGAACACTGAGAGCGGGGTGAATGGCACATCGGCAGGGCCTCTGTATGGGGCACTTGACCGGTTTGCGCAGTTCTTCGTCAAGCCCCTTTTCCTTGAGAATACTCTCGACAGAGAGCTAAGAGCAGTGGACTCGGAGAACAAGAAAAACCTACAGAGTGATGGATGGAGACTGTCCCAGTTGGCCAAGTCGCTGTCAAACCCTCGGCACCCGTACCACCACTTCTCCACCGGGAATCTACAAACGCTGAGAGACGAGCCTGAGAAACGAGGTGTTAAGATTCGAGATGAGTTCATCCGGTTTTATGAGCGACACTACTCTGCGAACAGAATGAAACTTGTGGTGATGGGCCGCGAGTCTCTAGATGAACTTGAGAGCTGGGTGGTAGAACTCTTCTCTGAGGTCAAGAACCAAGACCTATGTCAGAATCGATGGGATGGCGTCGAGATGTTGACCAAAGACCAGCTTTCAACCGAAATCTATGCAAAACCCGTCATGGAGTCCCGTTCTTTGGAGATCAGCTTCCCCTGGCAAGATGAGGAGGACATGTTCGAGACCCAGCCGGCGAGATACATCAGTCACTTGATCGGCCATGAGGGTCCTGGTAGTATTCTAGCATACCTCAAGGAGAGGGGTCTAGCTCAGACTCTGTCAGCTGGTTACCATCCTGTCTGTCCAGGATCGGCTTTCTTCGAGATTGAGGTTGGTCTGACACCTGATGGGCTCAAAAACTACCATGAGATCGTCAAGATCGTCTTCAAGTACATCGGAATGATGAAAGCAAATCCTCCAGTTGAATGGATGCACCAGGAGATGAAGAACATGGCCGAGGTCGACTTCAAATTCCGCCAGAAATCGCCCGCCAGCAGGTTCACAAGTGCCACAAGCAGTGTCATGCAGAAGAATGGGCTACCGCGCAGCTGGCTTCTGAGCAGCACCAGCAAGTTTAGGAAATTCGACGCCAAAGCCATCATAGAAGCCATGCAATATCTTCGGGAGGACAACTTCAGGCTCATGATCGTTGCACAGGAGTATCCAGGCGACTGGGACCAGAAGGAGAAATGGTACGGCACGGAGTACAAAGTTGAGAAGGTGCCAACCGATGTCTTGTCCGATGTACGAAAAGCGTTGTCCAACCAGGAGTCGGACAGAATACCTGATCTGCATCTTCCGCACAAGAATGAGTTTATCCCTACAAACCTGGACGTGGAGAAGACCGAAGTCAAGGAGCCTGCAAAAGCACCTAAGTTGCTTCGAAACGACGACAAGCTCCGGCTGTGGTGGAAGAAGGATGACACTTTCTGGGTGCCGAAGGCGAATCTCAACATCAAAGTCCGCAACGCCGTCACATATGCGAATCCTGCCAATTATGTCAAGACGAACCTGTTCATCAGTCTGGTTAAAGATGCTCTTTCAAGCTACTCGTATGACGCTGAAATATCAGGACTGGCTTACGGGATTGGGGCAAACATGCTCGGCTTCGACATAAGTGTGCACGGATACAACGACAAAATGGCGGTTTTACTCGAAAAGATCTTGACCACGATAAGATCTCTTGAGATCAGATCTGACCGTTTTGACATCATCAAGGAGAGGACGGCCAGGAAGTACAAGAACTGGGCATACCAGCAACCATACTACCAAATCGGAGATTACACCAGATGGCTATTGAATGAAAGGTCATGGATGAACGATACCTACGCTAAGGAACTTCCACACATCACCGTTGAAGATCTTCGAGTGTTTGTGTCAGATTTGCTGCAACAGGCACATATCGAGGTTCTGGCACACGGCAACCTATACAAGGAGGAAGTAAAGAAGATTGGTAACCTGATCGAGTCGTCACTCAAACCCCGAGCTTTGCCTCCGTCCGAGTGGCTATTACGGAGAAACGTCATTGTGCCAGAAGGAAGCAATTTCATCTACAAGCACAAATTGGGCGACCCTGCAAATGTCAACCACGCAATTGAGTATTACTTGGACGTTGGGCACGTCATGGACCTCGATCTCCGGGCGAAGCTGCAACTCTTTGGCCAAATGACCGACGAACCCGCTTTCGACCAGCTCCGAACCAAGGAGCAGCTTGGTTATGTCGTGTGGAGCGGGGTGCGACCCGCGGCCGTTACCATGGGCTATCGAGTTCTCATACAGAGCGAGCGAGACCCCGACTACCTGGAATCACGCATCAATGCCTTTTTGCTCAAGTTCCGATCGGATCTTGAGACGATGTCAGACGAAGAATTCGAGGGCCATAAGCGCAGTCTCGTCAACAAGAGAATGGAAAAGCTCAAGAATCTTGACTTTGAGACCAACCGTCTGTGGGCCTACATCAGTGGCGAGTACCTCAATTTTACCCAAGTCGATCGGGATGTTGGCGTCATCCGCCAGCTCACGAAAGACGACATCAAACAGTTCTACAAACAATACATTGACCCAGAGTCTCCTAAGCGAAGAAAGGTGTCGATTCATCTTGAGGCTCAAGCTTCGAGCGAGGTGCCTGAAGTCTCACCGGCAGAACAGAAGGAACAGTTCAGGGGCCTCTTCGGACAAGTTCTTGGTTCTTTAGGCGTCGATGTGGATGAAGCACGGCTGACACATGAGTTGGAAAACGTCGAACTAACCAACCAGCCACAGCTCTTGGAAGCGACCAAGCAGTACATCGGTACATCTATTCCAGCCTCAAAGACGGAAGAGGTTCTGGGTCAGCTAAAGGAAGCGGTCCCTCAGATACAAATGGCTCTGAAGATTAAGACCGCCGAGTCGCCCAAGGATCCCAACGAGGTGGCGGCCAAGTTGCCGCCTCCCGTGATCATAAAGGACGCCGCGAAATGGCGAGCTGGCTTGGAGGTAACAAGGGGGCCTGTCCCCGTAGAAGATGTGCAGGGCTTTGAAGATGTCGAGTCCAAGCTTTGAAGCTGCACTCGGTCATCGGGGCTGGGGGGATCTGGAAAAGGCCATAATGAGAAAGAGGTCATGACTCTGTCTGGCTGTCCATCGCAATACGGCGTTGTTGGCAAAAGTCATAATGTGTCTGTACAGTAGACCATAGATGTTGCAAGACGACTCAGCTAATAAGACAACAAATCCTGGCGCCAAATGCGTAATTCTCGTGCATTTCTCAAGCTCCTGTCACCCTTGAGCTGCGCGCTCTTCGTGCTTCGGGTGTGACGTGACAATCGCGGGCACATACGAACATCGTCTGTGATCGCTTCCAGCAAACACCGCCAGACATCAAGCTTGCTGACTTCTTCTACCACCACCACTCCCCCAAGGTGATATCTAGGGACTTTGCTACTCCACCCGCCGAGCAGCTTGAACGTCTTTACAATGTCGACACTCACGACGACCACCCTGAACACGTCTTTCCCGTACGACTGACTCTACCCTGCAATGCTACAATCTAACAACATAAAAGGCCTATACTTCCAGCACCATTTACAGCCAATCAACCCCCAACCATTCGACTGTACCCTCTTTCAAACTACACCTTTGGTACCAAGGAGACGCAGCCAGAGGAAGACCCCTCGGTCCTGGCGAGATTAAAGAGGCTCGAGGAACATTATGACAACTATGGCATGAGGCGGACGTGCGAGGGCATCCTAGTCTGCCACGAACATAATCACCCGCATGTGCTCATGCTGCAAATCGCCAATGCCTTCTTCAAACTGTATGTTCTGGTCCCCTGCTTCGCTCTGAGACTAGCTAGGGCAAAACTGATCGCATCGGAATTGGATAGGCCAGGCGACTATCTCCCTCATGACGCGGACGAGATCGAAGGATTCAAGCAGCGCCTGAACGAAAGACTGGCACCTACAAACCCCAAAGAAGGAGACACCGAGTGGGAAGTCGGGGACTGTCTGGCCCAGTGGTACGCAGGTCTCGGTCAATGTCCCTACCTATGAATCACACAAATCTAACAAGCAGCCAGGTGGCGTCCTAACCACGAAACATTCCTCTACCCTTTCCTCCCCGCCCATGTCTCCCGTCCCAAGGAACTCAAGAAGCTTTACCTCATCCACCTCCCTCCCAACAAGGTGCTTTCTGTACCCAAGAATATGAAACTGTTGGCCGTGCCCTTGTTCGAGCTGTACGATAACACCGCACGCTATGGGCCGCAGCTGAGTGCCATTCCACATTATCTGTCGAGGTACCGGTTTGAGTATGTCGATGAAGAGGGCAAAGTTGCGAGCGTCATGCCTGGGGCAGGGCCTTTGCCAGGTCCCGAAGGGACTGCTCCTGTGAGTATTAAGGTGTTGGCGGATGGGGACGCCGCTGCAACAGTGGAAATGGAGGTTACAAATGGCCATTGAGGCGTCGGATCGGAAATTCTGCGCGAGGGTGTTGCCGCGACACTCCAGCGGACTTGGATTCTCAAACATGAACCCTCGAGACACGTGTTAGCTCAATACCGAAAGACGACTTTGGACGCTGTCCAGTGCAAGGTCTACGCGGAGGCTCCGCGGTTACACACCATGTCGAGCGACAGAGCTTGTGCTTAAAGGACTCGAACAACGGGCGGCATTCAGCTCGAGAATCATGCCAAAGTCGAGTTGCAGACGCTGGCCGCACTGTCGCCCAATGGACAAACCAGGAAGCTTAAGGCTATGTAAGATGCTGCGTACGGTGGAGCGAGAAGAGTATGAGAGACTCAGGACGAGGGCGAGGACGTGGCTGCGCAAAGCTAAGCGTTCAGTCGAGTGTTACTCGCCTGGGAGAACACATGGTTTAGGATTCCGTGATAGATACTTGCGCTTGAAGGCTGTGATTTCGACTTCTTTGCTATCCTGGGTCTCCAGATCACTGGACAGAGTTGACCTGCATGGGATCTCAGCAGCTATATCTTCTCCACGCCGGCCAACCATGCCAAATTCTCATTCTCGGCTCTCTCGAACCCATCATTAGATGCGACGTTTAGCCATGGGTATGCTATGACTCTAAAAAGCCGTGTCCACGTCCTTTGGTTCTAGATGTGTTTTAAGCATTTCGTGCAATTGCTTGAATACACAGTACCGCTCATGCACCTGTTGAAGGCTTGGTTAAGTTACTTTCCGTGATGGACACTTGATCAGCGCCATCCACCTCGCAATCAGGAGGGTTCCACAGCGTGCTAGCGAGCCATGCAGAATAACGAGATGTCACTGTGTACTCCGTACGGCGCCTTTATTTTGCAATAGAAGGCTCGCAAATCCCGCTGGTGAGTGAGCCACTGATCACGTTACTTCATACGCGACTTATCCTCGGTGGCAGGTAGAGTTTAGCCGGAGTTGCATTGTTGCCTCCAGTGCCCGCCATCCGCTTCTTCTCCAACCTCCAGACCCTTGGCAGGCGAAATTTACAGATTCGCAATCTTGGTGATCTGGCCAGACGAACTCTCCACCAGAACCTCGGGCCTTCTAATAGAGCTTCTCCCAATCCTACCTGAGCAGCCTCGTCCTCGCACTTTGCACCCTTTCAGTCCACGCTCAACCGTTACCATGAATTTCATGAATCCTCAAGTGTACGTATTGCGCTTCCGGCCCAGACTTGGGCTCGTGACTGACTATCTGCAGCACCAACTTGGTGATCATCCTTGGGATGATGCAAGTCTCGAAGCGCATACCCTTTGATGATCCGCAAGTTCTTACCGGCGTCCGCATTCTCTATGCTGTGTCGAACCTGCTCATCTTCGGGCTCTACTACTACATCGGCATGAAGATCAAAGCAAAGAGAGGTATGCAGCACAATGGACATCAATATGAAAACGACTGGGCTAAACCTAGCGTATAGATTTGACCACGTTGAAATATGTCGAGCCTGCGCCGATGGGCTCTGGCGAAGAACCCAAGCTCGTCACCACCACGATCCAAGAGTACGACCAGAACCAACTCACGGCTGCCTACAAAGCACAGCTGATGGGCGTTGGAATGATGGCTTTCATGCATATCTATCTCAAGTACACGAACCCGCTCTTGATCCAGTCCATCATCCCCCTCAAGGGTGCTTTCGAGAGCAATTTGGTCAAGGTCCACATCTTTGGCAAGCCCGCGGTGGGAGAGCTCAAGCGACCGTGGAAGGCGTCAGGCGGCATGATGGGTATGGGTCAAGGCGAGACAAAGAGCGACAAGGCTAGCATTGAGGCTGCTGAGCGGGCTGGTCGTGGAGGAGCGAAGGAAGAATAGACGGCGCAGGATGCAATGCTGCTCCAGTGCGGCGACTTTGGATGAATAGATACATTTCCGGACTCCATGGAGAACAATAGACACAAAAGCAGATGTTTGCCCGTTGATCAACTAGCTTTTATGCGCTGGTTTGTGGTTCATGGACAAGCAACTTAACCTCTTGCTTGACACTGTCCCATGCCACATGCAACAATCGGGCTTGGCTGCTCGTGTGATGCAACACCCGACGAAAACAGCGCGGAAGAATCGATAATCCGTCCCATGTGCCGTCTATGCGGGACCTGCCAGAGAAGCGAATCCTGGCGATTGGATGGTGTCAGTCGGATGGTGTGTCGCTGCTTTTTCTCAACAAGACAAGCTACCTGGCGTGTGGTGATCAAGGCATTGTTGAGTCATGTCTACACGTCAGGAACCCCGGCTGTCGCATTCAGGGACACTTGGTTTGTGTTGGACAGAGGCCTGAGCCGGAGTCAGGATGAAGTATAAAGCCTCGGAAGCCGTACTCCGTACGACTAGAGGTCGAATCAAGACACCATTCATACAAGTCATCGCTCGGATTCGCCCTGCAGAGCAAACCCGCCGTTCAATTCTCGTCCCGGTGACCATAGCATCAAACTGAGGTAGGTTATCGTAGTCGTTTTCGCATCGCCGGAGCTTTGACTGGAGACCGAAGTACAGCTGTCGTCGGCCAAGCAGGGGTCCGTCATTTGAGAGGACCGCTGCCGCTGCCCCTCAACGTCAACAAGCCCCACCATCGTTCACCTGTCACTCACTCACCAGTTGTTTCATAGGACTCTCAAAAAGCTCTGATCCTCCTCCTCACACCACGATCTTGTCCGTCATTCGAGTGTAGCCTTACTCTTTCTGAAAACTCCTAATCCGGCCATCCGAACACTTACCTGAGACTCATGTAAGTTGCATGCTCCCCTCATCAGCCCTCTTCTCAATGCTCTCATCTGCACATGTCGGTGTATAAAAGCTCCAGTCAAAGATCTTTCAGTAACTGACCAGAAGTTCTCTCTCTCACAGTCAACAGCTCGACAACAACATGCCTACTAAAGTCGGTATCAACGGTTTCGGCCGTATTGGTAGAATTGTAAGTGGCAGATAGCATTGTCGCCGTTCTTTGTAGCTAACTGTACTCCAGGTCTTCAGAAATGCGTAAGTGTCTGCGTTCGATGATACGCAGACCGGACTCTGGAAACTCCCCTTTGCTAACGCAGCTTCTCAGCGTCGAGCACGAGGACGTCCACGTCGTCGCCGTTAACGATCCCTTCATTGAGCCCAAGTACGCGGTACGTCACATTCGTCGTCCTTCACGAAGCTCGACCTCGATATTGACAGCGAACAGGCATACATGCTCAAGTATGACAGCACGCACGGCATATTCAAGGGCACAATCGAGGTCAAGGAGGATGCTCTGATCGTCAACGGCAAGGAGGTCAAGTTTTACATGAAGAGAGATCCTGCTGAGATCCCTTGGTCCGACACGGGCGCATACTACATCGTTGAGTCGACCGGTGTCTTCACAACCACAGAGAAGGCCTCTGCCCACTTGAAAGGCGGTGCAAAGAAGGTCGTCATCTCTGCTCCCTCAGCCGATGCTCCCATGTTTGTCATGGGTGTCAACAACGAATCCTACAAGTCCGACATCCCTGTTATCTCCAATGCCTCTTGCACCACCAACTGCCTTGCACCTCTGGCCAAGGTCATCAACGACAAGTTCGGTATGAAGGAGGGTCTAATGACGACCATCCACTCATACACCGCTACCCAGAAGACCGTCGACGGACCTTCGGGCAAGGACTGGCGAGGCGGTCGTGCTGCTGCTCAGAACATCATCCCCAGCAGCACTGGCGCAGCCAAGGCTGTGGGCAAGGTCATCCCGACTCTTAACGGCAAGCTCACTGGCATGTCCATGCGTGTTCCCACCTCCAATGTCTCGGTCGTCGATCTCACTTGCGTGCTCGAGAAGCCTGCCAGCTACGACGACATCAAGCAGGCAATCAAGGACGCTGCTGCCGGTCCCCTGAAGGGTACGTTTATTGAACACCAGTGACCACTTTCTCATACGACAAGAGACTGATGAGACGCAGGTATTTTAGCATATTCCGAGGACGAGCTGGTCTCCAGTGACCTGAACGGTGACCTTCACTCCTCCATCTTTGATGCCAAGGCCGGTATCGCCCTCAACGACCACTTCGTCAAGCTTGTGTCCTGGTATGACAACGAGTGGGGCTATTCCCGACGTGTCATCGACCTGTTGGGTGAGTGCCCTTATCCGATCGGAAGAACTCGGGATGTGCAAGACTGACATTGAAATCTAGCCTACATCGCAAAGGTGGATGCCGGAAACGCTTAGAGTATGGCTTCCGCAGACTCCAGGGCTCCTCAAGCCTCCGATAATTTCATGCCGAACGAGGTTTCCGAGTTTGAGGTTCAAGTCGGTTGATGGAAGGGGACCACCGGAGAAAAGAATCCAAAGTGGAACATAGAACAAGCCTCGGGCGAGGATTGCTTAGCCTTGAATACTCAGTTCGTATCCTCTTTATGAGTCAATAACCACAACCTTATGGTCGACATCGAGGGAGTCGAACTCACTGTCGCTTGATAAAATAGACATGACTCACGTGACTTCACCCTCATCACGATGTCACATGATGTGGTCGTGGCTTCTTGGCGTCTCCTGTAACGGAGGCTTGTCAAACGCTTCAAGTTCATGCATGTACTGCGGCACGAGTATTCAGCAGTAAACTCATTCACCACCCACGTCAATCCGAAGTCCTCTGAAAATAGTTACTGAGGGCCGGATGAAACCTGTGTAGCCATCACCGACGCCTGCTAAAGCTGTCGCGGCTTAAAAGCAACTCCTAACCATAAAGACGAACAAAGGTGAGTGGTTACTAATGCACGCGACTATTTCCACGATGAACTAAGCTTTTATGCTATTCGAATGCGTGCGATATGGTGATTTAAACTGACATTTTGCAGTATTGGAGGGTTAAGTAGGCGTCTTTTCGTCTCACACAACTTCACATACTTTATATTCGCAGGAGTCGCCAGGGCGTTGTCTTCACCATGTCTCCGTCTTGACCTACGGCATTGTTGCGTCTTTAGCCCGGCCATAAGCTTTGTTTCAGAATGGCTCCAAACCCTCCGTCGCCTCCGAGGGGATTCCCTCAAGCTGCTAATGGACCGCGCTTTGCAAACCCATTCCCTCAGCTACCAGAACAGGCACTACTCTCCGAGGACATATCTATGCGAGAAACACCAGACATGTCAGGCGACATCAACAGTCGCTTAAGGATAGAGTCTCCCTCGGACGACACATCGGAGGATAGTCTCATGTCGGATTCAGACTCAGAGCCAGATGAGACTCTCACCAAGTCTCGGCGTGGGTTGCCGATCTCTACGCTTCCCACTGGCCTGTGCTATGATGACCGTATGCGGTATCACGCTGAAGTAGCAGCGACCAGTGCCGAAAATGTGCATCCCGAAGACCCCCGGCGGATCTATTACATCTTCAAGGAACTCTGTGAAGCTGGTCTGGTCGATGATAAGGATTACCCGCCTATGGTGGAGCAGCCCTTGAGGCGGATCGACGCCCGAGAGGCGACAAAGGAGGAGATCCTTCTGATCCATGATGAAGAAGACCATTACAAATTCGTCAGGTCGACAGCAGGTAGGTGCTCCTCGTGCTTATAACCGTACAACCAACATCGGATGTACTAATCACTTGCGGCGCCTACAACAGCTATGACGAACGCGGAACTCATAGACCTCTCGGAAAGTGCCGAGCAGGATTCAATCTATTTCAATCAGCTCTCGTTCTTTTCTGGGAAGCTATCCGCTGGCGCAGCTATCGAGACTTGCAAGGCTGTCCTGGACCGGAAAGTCAAGAACGCAATCGCCGTGATAAGACCGCCCGGTCATCATGCCGAGCCTTTGAAACCCATGGGCTTCTGCCTCTTCAACAACGTGTGTATCGCCTCGAAAGCCTGTCAAGTGGATGCGATACTCGGTCAAGAGTGCAGGAAGATCCTCATTGTGGACTGGTAGGTTGTTCGAAACCGAGGGTTATATACGCATAACTAATTCCGTGTGCCTCAGGGATGTACACCACGGTCAGTTGGGGTGCGCATCGTACTTGAGGAGTTCTAAGACTGACACGCCGCAGGGAACGGCTGCCAACGGGCCTTTTACAATGACCCAAACATCCTCTACATCTCCCTGCACGTCCATATGAACGGACAATTTTACCCGTCTGGCCCTGAAGGCGACATGTTCCACTGTGGCGAGGGTCCAGGCCTGGGGAAGTAAGTCATTCATCCCCACCTTTAGTTGAGTTCCTTTCTACCACAGACACTGATCATTCCTCTCAGAAACGTCAATATACCCTGGCCCTCGAAAGGCATGGGAGACGGCGACTACATCTACGCCTTCCAGTCCGTCGTCATGCCCATTGCGGTGGAGTTCGACCCAGATTTCGTAATTGTTGCAGCGGGCTTCGATGCCGCTGCTGGAGACGAACTGGGTGGTTGTTTCGTCACGCCGGCCTGCTACGCTCACATGACGCACATGCTCATGTCCCTTGCCGGAGGAAAAATTGCAGTCTGCCTTGAAGGGGGATACAACTTTGGTGCCATTTCGAAAAGCGCCCTCGCAGTCACGCGGACATTGATGGGTGAACCGCCCGATCGCTTGCAGGCCACGGCCGCGACATCCAGTGCCATTGACACTATAGCCAAAGTCCGAAACGTCCAGTCCAAGTATTGGCGGAGCATTTATCCCAAGGAACCCGTCGCAGGCATCTTCGGAGGAGAGAGGTTGCATGGTAAGAAATCGACAGAAACGGTCTGTCCAAAAGTAGGACTGACGAGCCGTGAAGATATCATTCGACGGTACCAGGCGATGCATCTCTATGACAAGTACAAGTTGACACAGTTGCATATTTTCCGGGACACGATCACCAGGTCGTTTGATCAGCAGGTTCTGGCCACGTAAGATATTACAGGCACACGTTGCATATTGATCCATGTCTACGCTCAACTAGTTGTGCACAGGGACAATAACCGTAGGGCGCTAACCGTATTCCAGGCCGAACTACGAAACCAAGAAAGCACTGATAGTCATCTTCCACGACTCGTAAGTTCCAGTCACTATAGTCGCTACCATTCTCTAGGCCGAGCTGACAGGGCTATGTACACAGACCTGATCTTCTCGCCTCGAATACTGGGATCTCCACGCAACAAAAACCACACGACACATGGCTGGTAAGTTCTTTTGCCTCGCCATACCGCCTCCTCTGCCTTCAGTACCCCATGCCCGTCTGTCTATCTGCCTGCCTACCAAGCTCACACACCTGCGCCAAAGGTTGACGGCACACAGTCGTACATTCACTGGGCGACCTCGCAAAACCACGGCGTCATCGATGTCAACATCCCCGAATTCATCACCGTCCCCGCGCCCGCGCCCGCCCCTGCGTTACCCGCAGACCAACCAGGCATAAAACCCGAGCAACAGTACGGAACCGCCGGGCTACTAGACCCTGCATCTGCCGCCACATCCACTCAACACCAATACAGCACATCCACCTCCGTCGAGTACGCGAGCGGGACCAGCGACCTCGCGCGGCGCGAGGGGGAGAAACTCGCGTCGTACCTCTGGGAGAACTACATCGAGCCCTACGCCTTCCCGCACGGCATCTTCCTCGTGGGCGCGGGCCACGCGTTCCACTCCGTCGCCAAGCTCATCTCCGACAACGACACCGTGTACCCTGCGCTATCGGGGGTTGTGGTGTTCAGCTCCACCCAGCCGATCCGGCCGGTTACTTCGGGCACGAACCACTGGGTGACGGGCTGGTATCGGGAGAATAGTCTCGTGTATGTGAGCGAGAAGCACAGTCTCTGGAAGAAGGAGAAGGAGAAGCAGGGGGGCAAAGTCTTCTCGAAGCGGTATGGGAGACTCGTCAAGAGTCCCGCCGAGGTGTTGAATGGGATGATGCTCCTGCATCGGGAGGAGGTCGTCAGGTGGATGACGGAGCGGATCGAGCAGAGGAGGGAGGCTATGGGGAGCAGTGAGGAAGAAGGAGAAGATGATGATGATAATGAAGAGGACGATGGTGAGGAGGATAGCACAAAGGCTGACGCGGACGGGGATAACGATGCTGATGCAGCCAAGAATGGTCAGGCCAGTAGTGATGCCGACACAATTGATGATCCGGCGGTCAAGGGGGAGAGCGGGAATGGAGATGGAGGTGGGATCGTTGTCAGCGCCGCAGGAGCGTCACCGCTCACAGGGGCTCCGTTGTCGAGAGGAGATGTGGTTATGACGACGGAGCAGTGACAGATTCCACGGTCTGGTCGACTATAGTAGCTGCGCACCTGCGGCCGGCGAATCTACTTTCTAGTATCTATCTGTTCTCATTTCACGCAAGCACGGTTGGAAGGGCAGATCGATGAAAGAATATGGAACAAGCAGAGAACGCGCTGGCAGATAGAGTTTGGAATCAATTCATTCCAGCATGATAGTAGCACTATGCCTGCAAGTTCAGGACCTCATCCTGTTGTACTCAGTATGCAGTAAGCTCATGTGTCTCTCTGCCTTGACCTCTATCTCGGCATCGTGTTGGGTAAATCTCCATGCTCACTCGTGCGTTTCTTCTCATTTTGACTAACGACGTCGAGGTATGGGGTTTCTCTGCTGGTGTTCTTTTCATGCAGGAGTCATGCGGTAGTGACTTCTGAATCGTTGTCCCAAAGCAAGGTTTCCTGGCCCGCTGTTTAAACTTGTATGCGCTCTGCTGAGCTGAGGTTGTCGTTGGTAGAACTGGCGGCAGTGTTAGCGACCGCGTTGGACCCGGAGCAGGCGACACTTAGCTGCTCTCGAGTCGACGCGTTGCATCAAGTTCTGGAAGTCGTCGTCACTCATACTGGTCATCTCATTCCCAACTGGCTCGGAATAAAGGTACGCCAGGGCCACCAGCTCGTCTTCTCGCTCGGCTTGATCTTGGAGCCGCCTTGCCCAGACCTTCTCATCAGCTTCGAGCTTGGCGACTTCCGCTCCCAACCTGGTGATTGAGGCTACATATTCCTCGATCTGCTTGGCTCTGCGCTCTATCTCTGCGTTGTAGTGGGCTAGGAGGCTTTGTTTCTGGATCAGAGCCTCTTGCAAATGGGTTTTCTCCTTTCGTATCTCCTTGAGCGACGCTTCAATATCACTGGCCTTCTCTTTCCATTCGATCTGGAGTCCTTGAAGCTCTTCAGCTTCTTGAAGAGTCCAAGATGAACGGGCTCCAGCCTCCTCGAGTTTGTTCTGGGTGTCTTCGGTGGTCAACCCGGTACCGAGCTGGTTAGCGCCAAAGACTGGATCGTCAGTTGGCGGGCGCGTTGTGGTTGAGGCTGCCGCTGGGGCCCGGCGTAGCGGGAGGTCCACGACTGCATTTTCCGAATCACTCTGCTCCTCATGTTTGTTGATTGTAGAGTTTGCCATGTTGAGGATCGTGTAACAAGAACAGTTGCAGGCAGGGCCTTTGGGGATGGCTGTGGATTAGAGGAGAATGAGCGTACGTAATGAGAAGAATCTGAGTTGCGAAAAGAGGCAGTTGAATTCACCTTAATTCGCCAGGAAAGCGGGATTCGCGGGCAGTGAATTGAGGATCACGTGGCAAAAGTGCGCTCTGTAAGTGAAGAGCTGCTGACGAGAGGATCGATCGAGCCGAGAAAGCGAGAACCGGGAATGTTATGCATTTGCGTTCTGGAAGTTTGTGCCTATATCAATTTTGGTGTTGGCCAAACCCCAAAGCCATACTCGCTCGAAGGCAGCATTGTGATATAGCACACAGGTGCTTTTGATGGTCAGCATGTCCTCCATATCACCACCTCCGCGCCATCGCCGACGGAAGTCATTGGCTTCATTTGAATCTCTTGCAGCTCTTCATAATGTACCGAGCCGAAATGCTGCGACAGTAGTTTCATCTTGTGCAATTCGTTACAGAAGACGACTTCTCTGTGCTTCCTGGCTGCAGTTGCTGTAAATCCTGAGGCCTACTTTTATACTTCACCACAGAGTAGCGTAGGACTTCAATCTTGCTCAATATTAGTTCCAAAAAGCAAAAGAGCCAGAGACAACTTTCAGCAGCAGTGAAACGCATTTTTGAAGATAGCATGGATCGTCCGACAACAACCACGAGCATTAATCTTCCCTGGGACCCGTCATGTCAACTGGAGCGGTGCAATAGCTGCGGATTTTGCACTTAGACTTAGAAATGGATGTGAAAAGGGAAATTTGGAGGCGGTCACTGAGCAGTGCCCGGTTCTCAGTTCGTCGCAGAGAGATCTGTACCTGTTCACAAGACACTGAAAGGGTAATGTAGCTTAGCGCTCCTTGCTCCTGCTGTTCCTCGAGAAATGTGCAAGACTGGGCCGGAGTCGCGAGAGAAATGGAAAGTTAGAGGAAACGTCGTTAGACGAACATTTGACGCGCTCTCGGAAAATCAGTTACTCCGGATGTATTTCTCGGCACCAATGATCCACCCCACGACGAGCTTTGAGCTACAGCGAAACACACCATCAAGCTCTGCATCAACCGTCCTCTCAACCGGGGTGTACAGACTGAGACTGCGCATCTCTCATCTTAGTCACCGAAATGTGTGGCACGCGTGTGGTAGCTCGACGGGCCCTTGTGTAATTATCACTCGATCGCAGCTGCCCGCACCAGCCGCCCTTCTCGAGCTTTTGGACCAGCAGCAAACGTGTATACACAATCCCGGGCTGGCTCTGCCGCGTCTACTCTTTCCCACAATGGAAAGTCCTGTGGCGACCCTCATTGATCGGTTATCCTATGAGGCGGCTATCAGTCAGCGATGGGACTGCCCTACATCAGCAATATTAAACATGCAAAGTGAGGACCCTCATCAGTACACTCATGACAAAGTCATCAAAGTCCACAAGCTCGTGGCGTCAGCAACAGAGAAATTAATCATCATAAGAGGACAACGGCAAGATAGGTGTCACACTTACTTCTCTCTGTTGTCCAACTAACGACAGAAGAATCGTTTTCAATCGACAGACGTTGCATTGACGTCGCCGGCCTAGGTGTGCCATGTAAGTCAGCATTGCCCCGAAGTCTCAAGCTGAAGGGGAATGAACACATCGGGTGAGCTTCGTCAGATAAGTACAAGCGAATATTTCCATGTGAGCGGAGGCCCGAGAGGCCGCGGCTCATCGAAGGAGGGAAATTTATTCATCATGAAACCTCGTGTTGACGATCAGGTGGGTATTGGGACAAAGGACTTACTAGGGCCGTTTCCGTTTTCTGCATTCTTTCTCTGGGGAATTACGGCGTGATGCTGTCTCGAGCTGTCAAAGGATAAATATTGGCAGTGAAGCCTGCATCAGGTGCTTGGGTGAATCCGACTTCGTCCTAATATCCCCATTCCCAACACGCCGATCACTCGCCATTGCCAACCATCGCCCGAGGTGCCATGAAGCCGTTCAGTGTTGGCTGGTGTGGTAAAGATTGTTCATGGGTTGCATGCCGCTTTGGAGGAGGTTCTGTCGAGCGTAGCCCGTCTGGACTGGCGCCGCCATTCTCAATGAGCTGGAGCGGACATGGCTTGCTGCTGGGGAAAGAGTTGTCGGCTGCTGTGAGCATGGCCCTCGGTGGAATGCTGGTCGCAGCCAATGCATGCTGGTCCCGAGGCTGTGATGGCACCAAAGTAGACCGGCCTTCGGTCCTTCGTCTCTTGCTTGGGCCCTGCTTGATATAAAGGTTCAACTAGTGATGAGATCCTCTGTGCTTGCGATCCGAGAGCTCTGTGAACTGCATCAAGTCGGCGACAGGCGCAACGGTGCTGGGGATCAGATATGACCTCTGCTTGTACGAACCCGAAGGTTCCGCTGAGGATATTTGTGGTTGGGTGGTTGGTTCAACTGGTGATGAGATCCTCGATGCCTGAGTGTACCGCATCTAGTCCACGAGCGGAGCAGGTGTGCTTGGGTCAGTCAGACGCGACTTCTGCACATGTTGGTACTGGATTATGATTTGGCACCAGTGACTCTGGGGGCTGAAGGCGCAAGTGTCTATCCTGCTGAAGTCTCATTGTCAACTCTTGACATGGTTGGTTGAGCACCACTTACCACTCCACCTGCAACGGCTGAAAACTCCAGGCATCAAAGGAAGAGGCCCCGACCCCAGAGGATATTCTCGTGCTGGCAGCCAGGCCAGAGTCAGCTTTGAGCAGTGAAACACTCAGTCTTGGGATCGAAGCGCCGCTTGCTGGCGAGGCAATGGCTGCAAAAGCTCCTGCTCATACCTTTTGAGAATACTTCTTTGTGCGGTCAGGAGGAATCTGTGGACCTTGCTGCGGTTTCTGGGCGGTTGAAATGCTCTTGGTGGTTGGTGGCATTGAGCTCGAGACCTTCAAGGTCAGTGAGTGAGAAAGACAACCCTGGAAGAGACTGAAAGTGCAGAATGTGATCGTGGGCGCAGCGACATCACAACGACATCACAACGACATCAGCCGAGACCTGCGCATGCGGCTGGGTAGCGGCTTGAATGAAGCACAAGCCGCAACCATCGAGGTGACAAACATGCGCCGGCGGCTTTAGTACTTTGTCTTCAGCCCGTCTTGCCCGTTCTCATTGATTCTCCAGACTGTTGACACAGACGTGCGATCCTTTGTCAAGCTACCACGATACTACGACTTGTACAATCGTATGGCCTTACTGGCCAACTCGTTCATTGGGATCACTGACAGACAAATAGGCACCATGGACAACCGCAAGCTTGAGAAAGGCACCGTCAATACTGAGCCACCAATGTGGCTGTTCAAGGCGGTCGCGCTCTGCGATTTCTATCAGGGCCGTCAGCGACAAAGAGATGGGTGGCCATGGCACAGCTATGCCATAGGCGAGATCTTCTATGTCATCGCCGAGGATGGAGGCTACTGGCTAGCCATCAATAAAGATGACCCAAAGATGAAGACGGCGGTTATCTGGGGCAAGAACTTCGCTCGATTGGCATAGAGACCCAGCCTGTCCTTATGTCCCGGCTGTGGTTGCAGAGGACGGATGCAACGCTCAGCATCTCAACAGACCGTGATGTTGCCAACTGCGACGACGCCCGCGCCCTCGCCCTCGCCATCACCTTCGCCATCACCTGTTCCATCATCGTCGCAGCTGGCGAGGCTATTCAGTTCAGGAGATGGATTCTCACGTGATGAGATGGATGAACTTCGGATACCTCAGACAGTTCGAGCAGGGATGCCATCAAATCTTCAGAAGCTGTGTATCGTGCGTCGAGAGTACAAGGGAGATCCGGCAAGAGATACCTTGATCTGGTGTCATGTCCGACGTGCCAGTGGCACGTAGCAAATGAAAGATGGCGCTGTCACTCGGGTTCGCTTTCATTGTCCACTCAAACTTCGCGTCGTCGACGCCACGATGAGCTATTGGCGTTTCGACCATGGTAAACACGCCTAGCATCAAAGACGGTCGGTTTTGTACAACGTGCACAGGCTCCTTTTCTCATCAAAGTTTCGAAGGTCTTAATTCTACGTCTCTGCCTGCCACCGTCCCCGGCTGCGTATCTCAGAGACGCAATTCCTCAGGGACTCCTTACACTATCAGCGTCATCGGGGTCACCAGCACCTATTCGAATCCCAGCGCGATTGGCCCATCGTCCCCTAGCAGTACACAGACTCTTCCTCTTCCTCTTCATCTACATCGGCTTCTCCTTCCTCTTCTTTGTTGTCTTCGAGCCAAACATCCTCGTCTGACCCACATATATTCGACACTGCTGCGTCAGTGCCAAGATCGTCGATATCGCAGAGAGCAGACCCAGCCATCAGCTCTTCGAACCCCAGTATGACTTCTGCAGTCAGTGGGAGCAGCTCCGATGGCGTGGCGATCGGGGTGGGCGTTGGTGTAGGTGTAGGCGTGGAGTCCTGCTATTAGGCATGGGGATATTCTTTCTGTACCGTCAACGAGTCAGAGCTAGAAAAAGTGAGGGAACACACACGGACAAGGCAGCGTTCAGCTCTTCAAAGAGACAAGACGACCCGCCGATGCCTGCCTATCAAGCAGAGAATATCCCGAAAGAGCCATTTCCCGCATCACATAATGCCAGCGAACTCAGTTCAGCTGGTCACGAATACAGCGAGCTCGGGGGCGAAGGTATGCAGACAGAGCTTTCAGCTCGGAAGTCAGATGTTGCAGAGCTTCCCGGTTAATAGGCGCTCAGAATCTCGGGTTGGTATGGCTTTCACGGAAATAGGTTGAGACGAGAACATCCACGGCAGGTGCTGTTGCGACTCGCAACCAAGACTGTGAGCGTGTATGCTCTCACTTGGGACACCAGCCTAGCACATGTAGGGGCAAGATGAGAATACGACGGACAGTTGCAAGGTGCAATTCTAGCAGCGGACGGAAGGAACGTCTCACCTGACCGCTATATCAGCGATGCCATGGTTGTGAATGTATTCTTCGCCACGTGCGTCCCTGTCAATGGCCCTTCAACATTCGAATTTGCGATCCTGCTCAACACACAACTGCATGTCTAACCATTGCGAGTTCCACAAAGCCTCACCATATCGACGGATGGCCTTTGAGGAGGTTGGACTAAGCAGTCGTCACACGACTCGCTCCCAAGAGCACAGGAACTTGTGAAGCTCCGTCATGTCTGTCTCATCATACCGACGCAATATCCTCGTCTGATTCTGACAAGCCGAAATACCACGCCTCGAAAGATTTTTTCCATCCTGCCTACCGCGTTCGGCGGACTCAAATTGCTCTAAAAAGAGACGAGCGAGGAGCCAGTACTCAGAGGCGTGGCGCCAAAAGCCCGCACGCCGCCAATCATCACTGTGCTTCTGGCTGAACTCCACATTCTCCAGATCGACACTGAGCGCTCCTTGGTGAGCAGTGTTGACTTGATCCTCGCCCTCGGGCTCGATGGGGACGTCAAAACTCGCAATTGGGCTTCTCTCAAAACGATCGATACTGAGGCGGCGGTTCCAAACAGCCTTCCAGTTATTGAGGGCTCTCCTAACACGTTGCAGCTGTTGCTCGGTAGGGGCATCTACATCGAGACTCATATTGAACAAGAGGACGTGCATTGCTACTCATTGCACCATATCAGCACCTGCGGTGGTAACATCCACGGAGTGAACAGGAGCCAGACACATACCAGATGGGACGGCAAAATGGTTGACGTATGCTTCATGAGCATAGACATCCCTGACCGCCGGATCAATCTCGTCCTTACAGAAAGTCCTGATGAAGTCAAAGAGCGTTGATGGTCCCGATTCCCGGCTTGTTCGAGTCTTGCATATCCACCATTGAATGTTCATGAAGCATTCTTCTGCCGACTGCGCTTGGAAGCACCTCTCTGGGCATGCCAAAGCCATCCTTAGCTGTCGCAACGCTATCCGAGGAGGAGTGCCGTTGAAAATGACAAAGGCGGTATCGATGAAGAAGACCCAGATGAACGTCCTGTGCGCAAGTCAGTCAAGAGTCGCAACGATGAGGCGGAAAACACACCGGATCATCTCTTCTGCCTCGATGAACTCGCGCCAGTCGAAGTCGGCTTGTGAAACGAAACGGTAGTCTCGATGGACTGCGGAAGACATGTCCATGTCGTGACATACCTGGTCGCAGTGTCAGGCCTGCTTAGCGTTTCGTGAATAAGGAGAAGTGAGCACCTTACCCCGGCTACAGCTGCAAAGAATTGTCGCCTCATTCTACGTTTGCTCTCATTCGTCCCATTCCAGTTCTGGTAAATGCAGATTATACAGGCGGCTTGGACTGTCTGGACGCTCGTCCTCCGGTCGACCGCTGAACCCGTCACATGGACTCTATCCAGCTCCCTGGAAGCCCATTTCTCCACTGTGTCGGACCAGAAGTCCGAAGCGCTTCTCTCAGCGGGGTCATTTGAATGGCATGCTCCGATGATAGCCATCGATGCCAGCAGCAAGCTCGAGGCACGTAGCGGGTCGAACTGTGGCCTGTGGATGGTAGGCCAATTCGGGTACCACATCGTCCAGTACAGATCCAGGTATATGCGGAGCCGGCGAGGAGAGAAGAATTCGTGACATGATAACTCTGGCGAGGCCAGGAAAGGCCCAGCATCGGACTGCCCGAACTTTGATTGCTGTCCCACGGCCCGGACTATCTCAAACACCTTTGCTGCCAGCGGGTCATTCTCTGCAGAGAGCATCGACGGTGGCTGGCTCAAATGCTCCAAGTCCCAGGTCCAATCATCCAGGCCGGGAAGGTAATCCTGATCAACGTGGTAATCATATCCGGTTTCCAGAAGGGCAAAATCTGCAACGACTCGCGGACCCATCAACGCAATCGCGTTCTCAAATGAGTACGGAAGGGAGAGATCTCTTGTAAACTGAATCAGGAATGGAAGGAAGCGTGCGGGCTCTGCGTCCAAGTCGAAGGCAGGAAGCACCACGCAGGTGGTGAGCTCCAGCATTGGGAGATGCTGCTGCTCGCAACCTGTGATGGTGCCATTCTTGTGGGTATTCGGCGCGTCGTGCGGATCGCTGGATGGATAGACACATATCACGTCGTGTTTGGCACAGTTCTGGCACGGCTTCTCGGAGTTGCATCGCCGTTTCTGGGTAACGCATCTACAACAAGCCCGATTTCTTGCCGTCAGGGCCCTCTTGGGAGGGAGATTGATGCAGTCTTGTTGGTGCCGCTTGAGCACATCGCTGCCACGCAGTCAATGTCATCGCCGCGCCACTGGAAGTGTAGAGACTTCTTCACCTGCGCTTGAAACCTTTCCTACATATATGACAGTGGTAAGGGAATGAAGGGGCGTCTAAAGAGACCCGAAGTCAGCCCTGGGCTAACGGTAACGGTAGCTCGACAAGTCGCGAACCACGGGACAGACCTACGAGCCTTCAGATGTCGTTGCAAATGATCAGGGCGGCTGTATGTCCTGCAACATACGGGACAAATGACGGATCGCTCGGAAGGAGACATCACTACGGGACGGGGGGGGGTAGCTGTAGAGCGCGTCTCAAGCACTGGGATTTCTTTGAGCATTGTGGTCGTCCAGCAACGTCTGAGGACTACTACCACTTTTCCGAAAACGATGTGCGCCTCACAGGTGAGCATGGCGAGCCACTGACAAGTCTGGGGTTCCAGGATCTGGCCCAGCGTGCAGAACCGAGCGCGGGGCTCCGCAAGAAGCGCCGGAGCCACCCTCCTCCGTACCCTCCCCTCCCCCACATTGCCGCAACGACGATCGTGGCATCTAGTCAGCTTCCTGGTCCCTATCCATCTCCACGACACCTGGAGAATTCCAACACATCTCATGCCACCATGGAGTCTTGCCGTCTTCAGCTGTTGAAACTCCAAACGGACCTTTGGTTTCCGGGATGGGACGGCAAGCTGCGACTACAGCCTCTCTGGTTTATACCAGCAGGGGTCACTGACATCGGCGTGGTCTTGGTTAATCGTGAGCAATTCCCCCCACATGTCCGCTGGTTGCGAGGCCGCTCAGGCATCAGAGACGTCGGATCCTCCGTCGCGCAAGGTGTATAAAACCGCTTCAAGTTCTGTTTCTGAAGCTCCCCACGCCAACCACACTGAGCGCAACCTGGGGAAGCATAAGTCACCATGAAAGAACCACAGTCCTTTGCACCCGAGCCCACCACGGGCGGTCCGACCGCCCCCTCTGCCTATAGAAAGCCAAATGGGGAAGCTCCTCCCAATGCTGGCGACCCTCTCATCTTGCCACCAGGCATTGATTCGCAGACTTTCAAGTCTTTTACCCAGCGCTTGGCCGATATTGTCGGTCAAAGCAATGTGACCATCATCTCCACGGACAAGGAGCTCCATCAGGAGAGTTATCTCGATCCCAGCAAAGCACATGACATGTTCTACGTTCTCGAGAAACAATATTTTGTCAGCTCCGCCGTCGTCGCTCCGAGGGACGTGGCAGACGTTCAAGCCATCATGCGCCTTTGCAACGAGTTTGAAATCCCAGTATGGCCATTCTCCATCGGTCGGAATGTCGGGTACGGTGGCGCCGGACCCAGGGTACCAGGGAGCTTAGGAATGGATATGGGGAGACACATGAACAAGATTTTGAACGTCGACGTTGACGGTGCATACGCTTTGGTAGAACCGGGCGTCACCTTCTTCGATCTTCACGATTACCTGGTCAAGAACAACCTGCGCGATAAATTGTGGATTGATGTTCCTGACCTTGGCGGCGGCTCCGTCCTAGGGAACACCTGTGAGCGTGGAGTTGGGTACACTCCGTATGGAGACCATTACAGTACGAGAGCTGCCAAAGGGAGAACATCGTCTCGTTGCTGACACCGTTGTTCCAGTGATGCACTGTGGGATGGAAGTGGTCCTCCCAGACGGCAGTCTCGTACGGACAGGAATGGGTGCCTTGCCTGATCCTGAGGCAGATCCTAACCTTCCACCACACGAACAAAAGCCCAACAAGTGCTGGCAGCTCTTCAACTACGGATTCGGGTATGCCATTGAAGCCGCTAATGCCCAGATCAAAGACACACCTGGTGCTGACTCAATGTTTGCAGGCCATACAACGACGGAATCTTCACCCAATCGTCCCTAGGCGTCATCACCAAGATGGGCATATGGCTCATGACCAATCCCGGAGGATATCAGAGCTATCTGATCACGATGCCTCGAGATGAAGACCTGCACCAAGCCATTGAGATCATTCGACCCCTGCGAGTGGGCATGGTGTTGCAAAACGTGCCAACCCTCCGCCACGTCCTCTTGGACGCGGCAGTCATGGGCGACAAGTCCACGTACAGCGACTCCAAAGCACCATTGACCGACACCGAGATCGACGCGATCGCCCACAAGCTGAATCTCGGCCGCTGGAACTTCTACGGCGCTCTTTACGGGCCCGAACCCGTCCGCGCCGTCATGTGGCAAGTCGTCAAGACGGCCTTTGGCCAAATCCCTGGCGCCAAGTTCTATTTCCCCGAAGACATGCCGGACAACAAGGTCCTTCAGATCCGCGACGGAACCCTCCAGGGTATTCCGTCTGTCGACGAACTCAGATGGGTGGACTGGCTCCCCAACGGGGGCCATCTGTTCTTCTCCCCGATCGCCAAAGTCTCCGGTGATGACGCCGTCGCACAATACAAGCTCACGCGCCGCCGGAGCGAGGAATTCGGCTTTGACTTTATCGGCACCTTCGTCGTCGGCATGCGCGAGATGCACCACATCGTCTGTATCGTCTATGATCGGCGGGACGCAGATATGCGCCGTCGAGCCCACAAGTTGATCAGTACCCTGGTCGACGACGCCGCGAAGCAAGGCTGGGGGGAATACCGTACGCATTTGGCCCTGATGGATCAGATTGCCGCGACGTACAGCTTCAATGACCACGCGCAGATGAAGTTGAATGAGAAGATCAAGAACGCGTTGGATCCGAAGGGTATTTTGGCGCCCGGGAAGAATGGCGTTTGGCCGCAGACGTATGATAAGGTGGCATGGAGAGTGCCGGTGTGATGAGCAGGTGACAGTAGGGCACACTAATGGGGTCGTGGTGGTTGAAGGTGCCGTTTATAGGAAGAGGTAGGCAGTGGGGTGTGATGGGCTGGTGCAGTGAAATGCAATGGTGCGTCAGTGAGGAGTACCGGATAGTGAGAATGGGGGACAGGATGAGACACTGGCACTTACGGTGACTCTGAAAATACACGCAGTACGAGTAAAGCAGGGGAAGCCATGTCGACGTCCGTTCGTATCTCGCTAGCTTATGTCGACAGCATCAACACTAACCTGTCAGCCCAGCTCCTGTACACTTTTTGCTATGTAGCTACTGTACTTAGATGTACTTGGGTTGTGAACAATGATCTCGAACGATTGAATGACTAATTAACAAGCCAGCCAGCGCACCGGCCTCTTGGCCTACAGGCCAGATACAGTATACTGTGCGGAGTACTCCGTATCTGTCACGCAATAACCCTGTTCTCAGGGGGCCTTTTTGCGAATTGACAGTCTCTGGATCTTTGAAATCTGTAGTCTATGAGCCCCCTGGCATAATTAGAGACTTGAGAGAGAGAGAGCTAATTATCACTTCGCTTCGGCCGGGACCACCCACCACTGGATTCTTAGCTACGTACTAGCATACCATGACCCGACGCGATGCGAATGGAGAAAGACAAGGGAGGGCAAGGCAAGGCAATGGCGCGGGAATGGATTGTCCTCGAGGCGGTCAGGGGTATGTCACTTATCTATATTCGTAGTAAATTAGTTAAAGAGAGAGATATTGGAATTCTTCACATACGCAAGCCAGGGCAAGGTAATGTCTTCGGAGTCAGCTCTCAAGTTCAATTCAGCATATTATGTTGCAACCCGGGGCTTGCATAACGAGTCGATTAATATCACAATATGTCTGTGTCTGCTGAATTGCTCTTTGCTTCGCTCATTCCGTTGCTCGATAATGTACATGGTGTGTTTTTTGTCTTGTCTATGTATCTATCGTGACCAATGGCGGGGATAGAGGAAGGACATATTGTCCATCTTGCGCCCCGTCTATCTATCAATGTTGGCTGATGGCACGGTTAGAGGAGTGGGGGGCACGTCGAATTCGGCACTGAGCAGCGTGTGTAAGTCTGCGCACAGCCAAGTAGTAGCACGAAATCTTGCAGCATAACGCGGCTGAGAGTGTCTCGTCTCGCCTGGTCCCGTCTAATAATCCTTCTGAGCATACTTGCTCCGCATTCGTAGCCGTTCACCGTACTGCGCAACGCAACGCAACATGTCAGCATTTGACAAGATAGATCAGACCACAGGGCACGGGACTGAGACTCACCTTGAACAAGAAGAACGGAATAGGAATGAACGCTATCGCAAGGAATCCCAGCGTAGAACTGGCCCACCCGACGCCAAGTTTGTTGTACATGGCCGTGGCGAACAGAGGGAACCCGGCGCCAAAGGTGGAGCGGAAGAAGTCGTTGCCGGCCAAAACACTGGCCGCGTATTGAGGATACGCGTCCGAGAGGTAATTGAGCACCGAGTTGAACAGCAAAAAGGCACCAATCGAAAACCACGCTGTCCCAATGATGGGCATGATCCAGTGGATGTCCGGGCGCGATGACCACCCAAACCAAAACAGACATATCGGGATGCAGAATGCGCCGACAAAGGACGGCGGTAGGCGCCACTCCGGCTGCAGTTCGCCCTTGTCGTTGAATTTGGGCTCGATGTATCTCCGCTGGTACCAGATGAAGGGCGGCAACACCACAAAGACGCCGACGAGAATGCCCATGAACGCCGTGCCCTCGAGGCCCAAACTGAACCCGTAGATCTCGGTGAAGACGATGGGGAAACTCTCGAACCAAATATAAAGCAGGCCGTAAATCAAGGCAATGTACATGTTCAGCAGGAAGACCATGGGCTCGGTGAATGAGAGCGTGAACGGTCGCACGAGCGTCATCATGACGATATCCCTGCCTGTCATCTGTTCGCCCATAAGTTGAGGCTCGCAGATGAGTTTGTCGTTGCCCGTGAGTCTCCGTAGACGCATCGTGCGTCGATACAGGATGTTGGCTGAGGATGTTTCGGGCATAAGGAATGCCAGGAGCACAAGTGTAAACCCAGACAGCCACATCAACTCCCAGATCGTCCATGTCCATCCTTTGGATTCAGCCGCGAAGCCGCCGACCAGTGGTCCCATGACTGGTCCACAGACGGCACCAATGCCCCAGACGGCCATACCGTACGTTCGCTTGCTTGGACTGTAAATGTCGCCAATGGTGGCGCCTCCAGTCGCAAGAGGCGGCGATCCAACAAAGCCCGTAATAAACCGAAACGCGAGCAGCATGCCAAAGTTGGTGGCCAGCGCCGTCGGAACTTGTAGGACGACAAAGAGTGCTAGGGTGGCAATGTAGATGGGTGCCCTTCCAGTCTGGGGTAGCTCGGACAGTGGTGACAGGAACATAGGGCCGATTCCGTAACCGAGGACGAATAGTGTGAGACCAAGTGTGGATGCGACACGACTGACGCCGAAGACTTCACTTACGTCCAGGATACCGGCTGAATAAATTGCTGAACCAATATAGACCGAGAAGGTCAGGAGACAGATCTCAAAGGTAACCCAGACCTTCTTAACTGTGCTCCAGTTCATCGGATTCTCTGGGTCGTCCGGACCATACCAATCTACAATATCAGCATCTCGTCCTTTCTCTGGGTCCACTCTGGTATTGCTCAGCGTGTTGACGAGGCCATTCTCGTTGTGGTCATTTGCGGTTGAGGCGGAAATGGATGAACGACGCGACGGTGGCTGTTGGTTACTCAATGTCGGCTGGGGGTTCAGCTGCTCCTTGGTTCCTGGTGGTGGGGCGGCCTGGTCGTAATATGGTGCACCCTCTGGTTGTTGCTTTTCTTCCGCCGCCGGCGTCGGCGGGTCGCTTGAAGTTGCACTAGGCAGCTCCTTCTTTGGCTGCTCAGGTCTAGACGTGGTGCCATGAAGCGCCATGTTGGATGACTTTTCGACATTCAAATATCGCTGCCATATCGAAGGGTCGCGTTCTTCTGGGTACTTGAGAATCCTCCTTCCGGTGACGAGCCGCAGGAGTTGCCCGACCACGGTATCCCGAAATAGTGCGGCCATGTTTGGCGTTAATCTTCGATGGACCGAGCAATACGGTATCAAAGGCTCTGAAGAGCCTGGAGTTGTCTATCGTGAAAAAGAAGAAAAATACCTACTGTGTACCCAGCAATCGGTGTGTTGTAGAGAGAAAAGGATCACCTTCAAAAGGACGTCGTTGCAAATTTGGCAGCCTCGAGGCGTCATGATAAGGAATGGTTGGGCCGGCGATGCCGGGTAGAGTACAAACCTTACTCATATGCAAGCAGTGAAGGGCTCCCAGTGCATCGATCGGACAATCGCTGGCAGAGATCCGAGTCGGAAAAGGTGAACAAAGAATTCTGGATCGTGCTGTCGGCGATCTAAAAGTCTATGACGCGGCGAGAGGAAAGAGTGGAGATGGCCGAAGAGGATGCTGAACAGTTGACTCGCAGCCTTGCACGTGCTTGCGGATGTGGCCGGTGTCTTTCGGCTCGGTCTCTTTTCACTCCGAGTATGTGGTATGGCAAAAATAACAGTCCTCCGAACCATGTTGGTGTCAGGTCGGGTTGCCATATGTGAGCGAATTTAGCCCGAGGATTTCATATCGCACGACGAGTTTCCCTCGCGTGGATATTCTGGAACGTTGGCCGGCATTTCCCGAGTGACAATTGGATCCATAGGATGTTCGACCCTAGCTCTAACTTCTGACAGCGGCTCCGGAACCTCACTTCCTCCGCATCAAGTGCATTTGGCCTGGTGAGAATGGGATTTGCGACAGTATCTTGCTCCAAGAAGCCGTCGACTTTGCACAATCTGAGCTTATCCCGACTTCCGCTCGACGAGGACCACCGAGCCCACTTTCCCTGCGAGTAGCTCCTGCAGATTGAGGATGTGGGTGGAGAATCTGTATAGGCCCGAGGACGAACTCTCACCGTGAAATCTGGAAAATCCCGCACGGTGTAAAGCGCCCTTGATGGAGTTGGCGCTCAGATGTGATGGTGTCAGGAAAAACTGATTCGCTTTCTGCATCTCACAGGTGCATTCCATCCTGGTCATCGCCATCCTCGTCATTCCCAAGCCGGTCCATCATCTGCCGCCTCAGCTCCTCGTCAGTCAATCGTCCACCTGCGTTCCGTTCCGTGTCTGCTGTCCTGCCATTTGTACCGCTGTCGCCTGAACTGCTGTTGACCTTGCCATTCGTGCTGATTTCATGCCATCCCGCTCCTCTTCGCTCGACTTCGCGCATCAGTAACTCGATCCTCTCCTTTTGTCGCTCTATGACGACCTGGTTTTCCTGGATCGCATCTGAACAATCTTTGTCACCCTCCTCCCGCTTGCTCTCGGGAAGGCTTGTATCTGAACGAATGCTGTCGATGTATTCTTGGAGGGTCTTGTTTGAGCGTTCGAGATGAGCTATCGAGTTTTCGAGCTCTTGAGCCTTCGCATACAAGTTCTCCGCGGGAAGATCTTGGATGGCGAAGGCGAAGCGCTCGGCTGAAATAGGCTGGGATTCGGAGGACATTTTGAGGTGGTCGCAGTACAGTAATATCGGTCATGCAGTAGGGCGACGCAGGTCTCGGTCGAAGTGAAGCTATGAATGTGATGCCGGGGGCTGTTGATTTCACTCGAGGCGTAACTGTAAAGCCGCGTGTCAAGACGCTTCTAGGGCTGGAAGGTGGTGCGACGCGGGGTCGGTTTAGGCGGGGTTGGCCTTCCACCCGGCTCTTTTAGGTAAGTAGGTAAAGCCTAACAAGGCAGGCACGCCAGGGTGGCACGGTGGTCAGGTCACTTCGGGAGATCCGTCCCGAGGGGCACATTTTACCCCTGGCACGTGACTGAACTTTTTTCACTTAGGGACCCTCACTTTTCACCGCCGTGGCAGTTTCCTCTTCCCCACCTCCCTTGACAGCCAACAGCCACTCACTCACGACCTATTCCTCACTCTCGCTGCCGTGTTCTAGCTCTTCTCTTGACGCTCTCACACATCGCTCGAGCCTCTCAATTGATCGCCACCGCCAACATGGCTTCCTCCACCACCATAACCCGCGAAAACGTCACGCGCCTCTTCCCCGATGTACACACGCGCCTCATCGGCGCCGACCTGGCACCCACCCATACGCCTTCCACCAACGGTGCCTCGAATACCACCTCGGACGACCTCCTCGCCGGCTACGACGAGGAGCAAATCCGGCTCATGGACGAAATGTGCATCGTGCTGGACCACGACGACGCGCCCATCGGCTCCGCCTCCAAGAAAGCATGCCATCTGATGTCCAACATCAACCAGGGGTTACTGCACCGCGCGTTCTCGGCGTTTCTGTTCGATCCGAAGAGTAAGAAGCTCCTCCTGCAGCAGCGCGCCAGCGAGAAGATCACATTTCCGGACATGTGGACGAATACGTGCTGTTCGCACCCGCTGGCACACCCCGCCGAAACAGGCAACGGGGAATTGTCGAGTAATGTGGAAGGGGCGAAGCGGGCGGCGCAGCGCAAATTGGGCCACGAACTGGGCATTTCGGCCTCGCAGGTGCCGGTGTCGGAGTTCAGTTTCTTGACGAGGATCCATTACCTGGCACCGTCGGATGGGAAGTGGGGCGAGCACGAGATCGACTATATCCTGTTTATTGAGGCGGACGTGACGTTGGATATCAATAAGAATGAAGTGCAGGATACGCGGTGGGTGAGTCCCGAGGAACTGAGGCAGATGTTCAAGGACGTCGAGAGTGCGAGTGGGAAGGACCAGGCTCTGAAATACACGCCCTGGTTCCGACTCATCTGCGAAGGCATGCTCTTTGAGTGGTGGGACAAGCTGGCGCAGGGAAAGCTGGGCGAGGTCGCAAACGAGAGCCAGATTCGGCGGATGTGAAAGCCTTGATTCTCGACGAAGAGCCTGTTCTGGTCGTGGTGTTGTTACTTTGCGCTCATGTGGCGCAAAAAGGAATTACACACTTGGATGAAAGCGCATAGCTTGCACTGATTTTCCGGACCGGAGAAGGGCGTCCAGGCGCAACGACAGAACAAATACGGATTCCCCATCAAAAGGACATTTTTCCCCTGCCCAATCATGCATGCAGCAAGACACTTTCCCATCCCATCCTGTATGGAACCTCTGCTCCTCGTAGTTCCTTGACACATTCGCACTGCTGATGGTGGTGATGATACTTGTCGACGTCTGCCCCCAAAGCAACAAATATCTTTCCTATTGGGCACGGAATGATCAAGTAATTAGTCTATGCAATTCGAGCAACGGCTCGGAACTAGGAGCAGAACATCAAATTCAATTCATATCGCTGCATCTCTGATACGCTATATACAGACAATGCGCCGTGGTCGGATCCTCCCCCAACACGCTTTTCTTATAACCCACCCTCCATGTTCCGAGCCGTGGCCTCTTCGACGCTACGTTGCCAATCCGTCCTGGCGAGATACACAAACTCCACGGCGGCGACCAACCCGAGCGCGAGCGCGACTCCGGTCCACAATCCCCAGAGACCCCAACCCGCGCCAAAGGCCGTGCCAAAACTAATCGGCATGGCAAACAGGTAGTAACAGAACAGCTGGACGTAGCCGCCGAACTCTTGCCTCCCCAGACCACGGAGAATGCCATTACACGCTGCAGCGAGGGCGTCGAAGAGCTGGAACGCCGCGCAGAGAGGAAGGATGTCGGACACAATTCTAATAACTTCGGCGTCGGAAGTGAAGAGGTGGGGGATGTAGTCCTTCAGCGCGGAGAGGAGGGTCACGTTGAGGATGCCGACAATGACCGCGGCGGAGAAGGTGACTTTGGTGCTGACTTTGGCGGCGTCGGCGAGGGTGGCGCCTATCAAGTTAGCCACGCGCGTGGAGCCGGCTATGCTCAGTGGGAAGGGGATCTGGAATGTCAACGACGTGAGGGTGGCGAGGACGGATTGTGCGGCGAGGGTCGTCGTGCCGAAGTAGGATGCCGCGAACGTCAGGACCTCAAAGGCCAGGACTTCGGCCTCGATCATCACGACTCCGGGCAATGCGAGTTTCACCATGGGTCCCCAGTTCTGGAGCGCCTTTTTGGTGAAGCCGTTCCAGCACGACATGCCAGATTTGGAGAAGAAGCGGACGTAGATGAACAGACCGACTGGGAGGAGATTGTCGGTGATGGCGACGGCGATGGGTGCCCCGACAAAGCCCCACTGGAATCTCCACACAAAGAGCCAGTTCATGAACGCGTTGAAAGGGGCGCAGAAGAGCAGAACATAGAGCGAGGCAGAGAAGAGGCCTTGGGCTTGGACGTAGCGTTTCCCGGCCTCGAACGCTGCATAGCCGGGCGCCCCAGCTAAGACAACCCTCAGGTAGAGGCCGGCCAGTTTAGCGACTTCTGGCTCTGGGACGAGCGCGATCAGGATATTCTCTGCGAAGATCCAGATAATTGCGATGGGGAGAGTGATGGCCCACAAGAAGTATATCATGCGCTGCATTTGCAAACCCACCAGTTTCCTGCGGCCGGATCCATAGGCTTGCGCGCAAAGGGTGTCGAGTGAGGTTGCTAGACCCTGGTAAAGGGCGTAGCCAGTGATGTTCGCAGACATAGAGGCTAAGCTGACTGCCCCTAGCTCTACCGTTCCGATGTGTCCGACTGTGAATATGCTTGCAACGGTGAGCGAGTACTGTAGGATAAAGGTGACCATTAAGGGCGCGGCATAGCGGGCAATGACCTTGGCCTCTCGCTGCCATGTGGTGTGGATCATGCCAGCAGCCACCGCCTCCTCCCATTTCTGATTGATAGTCTCGGGGTCGTCTTGACCACCATAAGGTAGGTTTGGGTCGCCCAGTAGAGGCGTTGCTTCGGACACAGCTCCAAAGGCCCCGTCGAGTGCCGGCGTGGCTTCTTCATCGCGAGTTACTTTCCGATCCCCGCCTGGAATATGGAATATGCTTTTTCTTCGGCTACCATCGTCGCTGGCAGCTTGTGGATGTTTCGGAGGGATGATATTATTGTCTCGCAACAGACTCCTTTCCTCCTCCAGTGCCTGCCTCCTCTCTTGCTTCGAGAGCCGCTCATGCTCTGTTGATAGAAGGTGTGGGAGTACAGTGGCTCTGTTTCCTGCACCGACAAAGCTCGGTCGACGATATAATCCAGCAAAAGACTGTCCTCTTCCAGGCGCCGACGTAGAAGGCCGCAAGGTTGAGGTCTCGGAGTCGGGCTCGGATTCTGACTCCACGGCATCTTCTGGATCTTCTTCGATGTCCCGAGCTAGAGACGCCTGTGCGATGGGCGAGAAATCCGGGAGAGAACGAGAAAACGCCCGACTCGTAACGCTCGTGACACGTTCGAGCGTACTGAGGTTCTTTGGCGGCGTGGCCATGGTGGGTAGGCCCTGGCCAAAAGGTAGGTATGCTTCTGGCGGGCCTCAACGATGTGAACCGCTACGCTTTCGACTCCGGTGCTGGCATGCTCAAAGGTGACCTTTCGTTGGAGCGTGTATCTCTCAATCGAAAATCATGGATCAGACCAGCACCTGCCCGGAAGAGTGAAAAAGAGAAGCCTCTGGGGGATGTTGACTGATAAAGCTCGTAACAAATATCAGCTCCGCACATCTGCGTCGACAATCTCCAAAATGTCGTCGGCTGCAGTGGCCGCATCGGGCACAGCTCGCCGTTCGGGGGGTGTCCGAGGCTGCTTTAGAAGGCGCCATTGGGCCCTAGCAGAGGGCGGGGCTACGCCGCTGATATGCGTCGCCGCCCGACTCAGTCGATAGCCTGTCCCTTCCGCTTGAGGATACCGAGTCAAGCACCGGACGGCAAATTCATCAGGCCTGAGAGACCGAAGCCAGCATCAGGGAGGTTAGAGGTGTTGCAAGAAAGTCTCTGTCGGCATGTCCAGCGTGACCGCACAACGAGGGGTCGATCTGGCATGAGCCCCGTAGGTGGTGCATGGTCCACCCAGGCCACCCCAGCTTTTGTCCTCGGCGGCCGAACTGCGTCATCTTCGATTTCCTCAACACCATCTAGTACCTGTCGGGCTCAACGTTAAGTAGCTGGTATCCTCAAATCCTACTCTTACCACATACTTTTCCACTGGTCGATGTCTTGTCCGCTGCCTTAGGAGGCCACTCTCGGAGTTTTTGCCGACTGCAGCTCGGGGAGTTCGAGAAAGATGGCTCATCAAGAAGACAGCAGTCCGCTTGGACAAGCTTCAGACGAGGACGAGTGGCACGTCCTTTACAACCCATTCCGCGCCACTATCAATGTCAACGAGTAGGATGTCCCCACCATGGACAGGGGATCAGCTGTACTGAGCGATACTAGGTGCCATCCTGAAAACCCGGTCAAGATGTTTCTTCTACAGCCGCTATACGCTCCGCTTCTGTTTCCTAACACAACATCAGACGCGCGAGACCATTGTGCGAACGAGCGCACGTTCTTGTCATGGCTTCGGCTGGCGATCTATATGGCTATAGTTGCAGTAGCCATACTAGTCAACTTCCATCTCAAAAATCAACCAACTCCCCTAGAACGAAGACTTAGCCATCCAATGGGAATCATCTTCTGGGTGCTTTCGCTGGCTTGCCTGGTGACGGGACTCGCAATATACATGCGGACTGTCACCAAGTATGCCAAACGGCGGGCGTTGGTTCAGACAGGAATGAAGACTCAGGCGGTTTTCCTGGTGGTCTCGGCGGCCATCATTGCCGCATGCGCCTTATTCCTAGCAGCGGAGGTGCAGGCGTCTAGACAAGGGCAGGCCAGTGTTTTTGAGGCGACATTCGTGCTGTAGCGACAAGCTATGACCTAACCATGGGGTGCAGTATCTTTATAACACGATACATCAATGAATACTATCAGTAATGGGCATTGATTGGACCGTGGTGACCGTGTAGACGCGTCTCGTGCATTCGATGTTGATTCGCTGATGCGCAACTGTCAATTCCTCGCTCACGCTTCCAAACCGCCCTTCGGCTGTGACCTGCGGCCTCAATCTCGACCGCATCCATCCTCAGCTCGAAACGATATATTGGCATCGCATGAGTTGTCCCAGACCCCTACCTGCACGCTGCTAAAGCTATTGTCAACCTCTCCTTTCAGCTCACTCCGCTCGTTGGCCTCCAACTATGGATCCCTCCAATCCCTCTACCCCCATTGACTACCCCGCCGATTCAGCCTACAGTCCACACATTGTCAACGATCAGGACCAGTCACAAGAGGATATTACTGCGGTGCAAAATGGCCAGCAATCTCACCCGTCAACTGCCACGGCAACGCCACCCCTAGATAATGACTCAAGTCAGAAATACAACTCACCCAGTCTATACCAACAGTCGGGGTCAAGACCAGGTTCTGGCATGGGCGGGCATCAGCAGACACAATATCAGGAAAATCGCCAGTCACAGCCAGCCAGCAAATCGAGTGTTGTCATCAAGGTCGGAATGGTTGGGGATGCTCAAATAGGGAAGACGAGTTTGATGGTCAAATATGTCGAGGGCAGCTGGGATGAAGACTACATTCAGACATTAGGTGCGTCCATTCCGTGGAGCTTTCAGCTTGAGTGGCTAACACGGTGCTAGGCGTCAATTTCATGGAGAAGACAATCTCAATACGCAATACCGAAATTACCTTCTCGATTTGGGATCTGGGCGGCCAGCGAGAGTTTGTCAATATGCTTCCCCTTGTCTGCAATGACGCCGTCGCGATCCTATTCATGTTCGACCTGACTCGCAAGTCGACGCTGAACAGCATCAAAGAGTGGTATAGACAAGGCCGAGGCTTCAACAAAACTGCCATTCCATTCTTGATTGGCACAAAATATGATCATTTCGTCAACTTTCCCAGAGAAGATCAAGAGGAGATCAGCAATCAGGTAAGCACGGGCGTGCTTTACTTGTAGTAGCATTTTCACTGGTATGGAGACTGATTAGCGGCGTTTGACAGGCTCGAAGATTTGCCAAAGCCATGCGGGCAAGCCTCATCTTTAGCAGCACCAGTCACAGCATCAACGTCCAGAAGATCTTCAAGATCGTCCTCTCGAAAGCCTTCGACCTGAAATGCACGATTCCCGAGATCGAGAACGTTGGCGAACCTCTGCTACTTTACCAATCCGTGAACTGACGCGGAGCCTTTTATTCGATCGGATGGACCGTTGCAAATCCGCAAAGCCAATGTCCAGTTATGTCCGAGGCGTTTAATGTAATATCACGTCAAAAAGCTTCAAGCAGTAATGGTTCACAGATGACCGGCGCCATCTCTTCAAGCAAGGGACTCTACCATACGAGGCTGGATCAAGCAGCTGCCTTGATTATCCTCCCCTAAGCACGTGCATAATGGTGGATTGTGTCAAAGACCCACCAACAACCCGGGAATCACGACTGAATTGCTTGTGCGGCTTATTTGTCCATACTGCTTACAGAACGGAGTACGGAAACGGATTTGATGGTGTTGCAAAGTGATGCGCGTTCAGGATGATTCGATCTTTTCAGAAGCCAGGCGCATCGCGTGGCGCAGGAAACAGTTGGACGCGCGGAGGTACCAAAAGATTGAAAGGCAAGATGTCAATGAGACGCATCCTTGGCTGAGGCATGCCAGAGCCTGACCATGCATGGGCTCACGAGCTCCTCCGAACAGGCGTAACGAGACATGAATTCAACGAGCTGGCCTCTGCCCAACACTGTCACTCAACCCTCAACCCGTTCCTGATTCGCTGGTGAGATCCGAGATGCAAGCATTACGGAGTACTCGAAAACTGAGTACATATTGAGCGGGCGGCGGACGCCTTGACCCTAAGCATGTCAGATCTCGTCGGTCCCGGAATCGTTGTTGCTGTAGCGTACGCAGGACTCCCCACGGAAGACTGCAACGCCATTCTCGTGCTCCGTACACTGGACGAGCCGTCACCTCGTGCTCCGTTACTGGACAGCGGCTATGAGGTTGCAAACCCAGCCACGCCAAAATGGTGTACCTTAGTGCCTCGCTAATCGTATTCAGGCGGGTCAGTGCGCTGTGTGGGGCATGGACATCGTACAATCAACGAACGCATGAAAATGCTGAATGAGTTCTCAGACTGAAGGCGGTGGTAGATGAGTGTAGCTGGTGATGATGGACCGAGCCTAACGTCAATCGCAGGCATGTCATTGTAGTTCAGGCGATCATCAGCAATGCCTTGGCGTCGAACATGCACGGGACAGGTGGCCTCAATGATCATATCATGACTTGGAACATACGAATGCTGTGTACGGAGTACGGAGTCCTGCGCAATCAGTGGCATGTCGGAGTTCCGCTCGAAAGAGTCAGAACCATCGTTCTCTCATGGTTGGGCACGTGGCTGGGGCAGACTTTCTGCAGCTCGCAGCGGGAAGAATGGTCCCAACTGGCTGAACTATTTTCTGACAAACAAAGAGAAGCTTCAGATTTCTGTGGCGGGTATCTTGCCAAATTTGGGTTATTAGGGTTTTCCAGCCCTCCTTCACGGTTCACGGAAGATGGACAATACTATTGTCCTTAGGCGCATTTGTTTACTCGAGTGGATATGGTTTAGCGTGGGGGGGGCCTGATGACCCACAAAATACCATACAGCCAATCGCAATACGCTAAGCATCTCGGTAATCGCTTGGCAACTGGTGAATCTCAACTTCCCTTGTTCCCTGCCGCTGCTTTTTCGCTAGCCACTCACCTCTCACTTTAGCCCTACCATTATCGCCTCCTAGCCACGCAATACTACCAGTGCTAGTCTATCTCAGCCCCCGTGATGTCGTCTCTCTGCACAATGGAGGCTGGCAGGAGCTTTCCGCGTCGAGTATCGCACCTACATATGACGGGTCGCATGAAGGACTGTGCAACTTCTCTTTCCTCCATCCAGGACGCTGAAGTAGAGCAGCTTTGAGACTCGCATATATACGCGAAAGAGCCCCCAGGGTCTACCAAGTCCTTTGACATCTGCATTGTACATTGTTATACTACATTCGTTCGACATGCATTCCCGTTCCAGATCTGCACTTGTTGCCGCTGCCGCTCTCTCAGCCGTGCCCCTTTCCTCGGCGTTTCCCAAACCCCAGACCACTTCTACTACTCCTCCAGATTGCTTGCTCACATGCATGGCGGCAGCAGCGGCCATTTTCGGTGATCCCTGCAGCCCCGACTCTGTCGCCGCCATTCAAGCATGTATTGCAACGGGTTGTGCTCCTGAATTTCTTGGTCTTGCCACCAGTCTCCTTGAGGCTCAATGTGCAGGGCAAAATGGGTCAGCTTCTACTCCGGGCTTGCCGGGTTTACCGAGCTCAACGACCACAACCTCGATCATACCGACTACCGCTCCACCATTGAGCCAGACTACAAGCTCTACCACCACAGCCTTAATCATAACGACTACAGCCCCACCATTGAGCCAGACTACGAGCTCTACCACCACAGCCTTAATCGTAACGACTACCGCCCCAGCATTGAGCCAAACTACGATCTCTACCACCACGACAACGCCGATAATTACTACCTCGAGCCCTATACAGCCTGTATTGACGAGTACGACTTCCATTCCGACCACCACCACCTCAACAACCAGTGCGGAGACATGGTCTGACTGGACCTCTTCGACGACAACAACCAGCTCCGCAGAAACTTGGTCTGACTGGACCACTTCGACAACAACGACAACAACCAGCTCTGAGTCTCATTGGCTCGACTGGAGCTCAACCATCACAACCACAAGCCCCACAACCACGTCAGAGTCTTCAAGCTGGGCAGATTGGACCACCTCAACTCCTGTTGTTCCTGTGACCACAACAACCGAAGAGAGTAGCTGGCTTGACTGGACGTCTTCTGAGACCCCAGCCCCGGAAACTAGCAGTTGGGCTGACTGGACGTCCTCTGAGACACCAGCTCCAGAGACTAGCAGTTGGG